AATAGTGGAGCAGGGGAGACCAGGGAGGGCGTTTGAGTTGAGACAGGAGTTGACGAAGGCGTGAACGAGGATGTGTCTCTCCAGGGAGAGAGTGCATATTCCATTCCAACAATCTGTCTCTGGGATTTCCATGTGTAGGTGGGATGCATGGAACTTTCGGCTTGGTTTGGATACTCTTAAGCTTGGTGATGGGTTTCCGAATGTGTCAGACATCTTGCTGACGAAAAAATGCCCAGCAGCTCAGAACCGTAAAGGAGAACTGTTTGGACACGTGCCTTTTACTCCACAATCTTAACCTGGATTGGAACGTTGCTATTGGAGCCAGATGAGAACAGCCAAAATGCCCTCATAACACACGATGCAAACAGAACTGCCACAATTCTGTTAGACATTCTTGGAATACACAGACCGACTTTGACCTTCATGACTGTTGAATGAAGTAAAACAAGAGTCCCTACCTGCCAGTTTGTAAATGAAAGTGTCACATTTCAGTCTTGCTGGATTCCTGCATGCCTTTCCAGTCACAGGAGTATCAAAAGTATGATTTGAATAACACAGCCTGAAAATAACAATAAGATTCCTTGCATTTGACATAGGGCTATATTATGTCATTGGGATGTCTCAAAGTGCTTCACAGGAGATATTGGGTACCTTGTGGGCGAAAAGTGGCAGTCAGTGTGCACGCATCAATGTTCCACAAACTGCCATGAAGTGAGTAATCAATTTTATTTTAAGGGATTTGTTGGTCGGACACTGGGAAAAACTCCCTATTTTTAGAGTGCCATGGCATCTCTAATGTCCACATGAACTTGGCTTAATGTCTCATCCGAAGGACGGCACCTCCAACAATGTAACATCTCCCAGCACTGCATTAGAGTGTCGTCTTAGACTATGTGATTCCAAGTCCTGGTCTGGAACTTGAATCTAAGCTCCAAATGCTCCAGATTGAGCCCAAACTGTACTGCTGATACTTGAGCAGCAATGATGCAACAAAGCTTGACCAGATAAAGTGATACATAGCACTATCTCAGGGTCAAGTTAATACAAACTAATTTTAGACATTCTAATAATACAATTGGTGGGTAAAACACAACAGATTTACAAATCCTACAAATACACAATCACTTTGCAATAAAATCCTGTAAGGCAATTTGGGAAGTTTTGATGACGTGATAAGGCACAATATCAAATGCTAGGATTATTTTAAACCCCATTTCTTTACAGAGGTGAACTTTACATCATGGCCTACTTAACTTAATTCAACGATTTGAAAGGCACGTAAGTCTGAATGAAGAGAATTAATATCAAGGCAGTTTGCTATTTCCAGTAAAGAGATACCTGAGTGTCAGTCAGACTCTCTACATAATCACCTTCCTTCTGGTGAGGAAGTAAATTGGAAGAATTTAAAATAATCCTTGCTTTGCAACTGAAACTCCCTTCTCTTTTCGAGCAGTGGGATCTTTAACGTCTAGCTGAACAGGCAGACAGGACTTTGGTTTAAACAATGTCGTATTGCATTGAGGTGTCAGCCTAGACTGTTCAAAAGTCTTGATATGAGACTTGAACTCACAACCTTCTGACTCAGGCGAGAGTGCTACCGACTGAGTCAGGTTGGATCACAAATGTGATGGATAATAATGTGGAGTGAGTTTCATGCCATCACTGGAAGGTAAAACGATGATCATGATCCACACTATCACTGACACTGCTCAAACAAATGAGTATCAGCCTGAATAAACAATGAGTGATACAAATTATAACCAGTCAAAAATACTGCACACTGAGATTTCCAATAATTAATTTTACTTTGAACATTTTAATCACATATTTAAAATTAATTTTTTTTTGGTTCAATTATGTTGTTTTTCTTCCTGTAACAGCTATTTGTTTATCCTTTATTATGAAGTGTTACATAATTTTTTTGTGTGTATGTTTGTTTGTGAATGTTCCTGATTGGTAATCAGTGACACCGTGTAATGTGTACATTTGTGAAAATTGGGATGGGACCGTATTTTAATGGTTGCAGCAAAGTGTGGAACCATTCCAGAGTTTGGGGGGGGGGGGGGGGGGGGGGGAGCGAGGGTGACACAGGGCTCACACATAAAGAGAGCAAAACATTAGCAAGGGAAAGATGAGTAAATGTACAGTAGAAAATCGCAGAAAAATCTTAGAAATGTTAACTAAAATAAAGTTTTAACATAAAGCAATACTGATGATACAAAGCTTCCCGGGCAGGCAGAAGTGTAGACAATTCTTACCTTCCAAATGCCTACTTTGGATTGTGCAAAGAAAAAGACTTTTGAGTTCATGCTAAAAAGCACATTAAGAGACTGAAACTTATACTTTTGCATGGTTTTGCTTAAAGGTATGCACTCTGCTGTGAAAAACAAAAGCAATGCATGGCTGAATTAAGATAGATGAAGTGTTCCGTTGGTGAGATCACATCACCATTAGTTTTCACAGCTATAAGATTTTGGCAGGAAATGAGGGACATTGATTAAAGATAAGCAAAGCCATCAAAATATTCTGATCTTTATTGAAATGGGTTTATTCTTCAGGCGCATATTGAGATTATAACGAGTTTTAAAGTGTCTGAATGTCAAGGAAATACAATTCTACAATTTTTAAAAAATCCAGTCGGAAATAACACAGCTCCTCTGATGACCCAGTGAGGAAAGGCTCCACAGTACAATGGGTCAGATAGATCAATCCCTGACTGAGGAGATTTCAAGCAGAGCAGTCACTGGGTTAAGGAGAAGGAAAATCAGCCAGAGTCCCTGCAACGCATTGAAGCAAACATGCTAAAAAAGACAATGAGTCAGACCCCACCCAAGGAGGAAATATTCTCAGATAGCCACCTATACAAGCCTGCCTATCTCTATTAAGTAGGCAGGCTTGTTGGGGTGGTTATTACAAGCTATAGGGGCTATTACAAGCCCCTCCAAGAAACATGGAAGCCAACTGGTGTTGAGAATTCTGCCCAGCTGAGTCCTGTTAAGATTCCTATCTACTCCTTAAGTTTAGTTATTAGGACATTCATGTGATAAGGTGCTATAAAAACTAAAGTTGGGAATCAGAAATCTTTTCAAAACAAAATGTATTTTCTTGCTCTCTCTCTGCCTCAGATTTAAACTATCCACTATTTCAGATAACCTCGAAAGGGCTGAGGGAAACTAATTAGGAGGTTGGAGCTTTTTTGGAAAACATTTTTAAGGGAAAGGTTTACTGTGGGATGGGAGGAAGTAACCAGCTGGCCAACAATTGACTCATCAGTCTAGTAATACTCTCTGAGTTTGAGAAAGGAAAAAAATCATCCAGGTAATATCCTCGACCACCAAAACATCTTAAAGGAACTACCTTGATTGATCTTACTCCTCGCCTCCTTTTGTGAATCCATGAGGAATGTGGATGACACTGAACAAAGAAGATAATCAGACTTTTAATGAAGAGTATTTTAATCCACAATATGGAATTTTAAAAAAATCATTCCCCCACAATTTGACGTTCATGTATTCTAACATTTTCAAATGTTGCTGATCTAGCAATGAAAAGAATACTGCAGTATTAAGTAAAGAAAAAAGCAAAACTATTGACTTAACAGTTCTATCAATGCAAGACTTGCAGCATATTTCATTTTTCCTAATAGTTTCCCTTACCTTCCTCCCTATTTGTTTTGGTCGGCCAGGTGTCCAACACATGCAGAAACCCATCACTATGCTAAAGAGTATCCAAGTCTGACAGAGTTCCACATATGCCAACTACACATGGAAATTCTCATGTTTGAAATGAAATGCAAACTCTTTCCCCGGAGGGACACACCCTGCTTACGTAATTCCGGAAAGAATTGAACACAGGTTGACCAAAGCCAAGCATTCCTACTTCATGTCCAGTTAGGACCATCCTACCCATTAGGGCTTAGGCTTGCAGGGTTAAGAGGAGCTGAGTGGGAAGATTCCTCTCCTCAAGGTGCCATCTCATTATGGTACAGTTCCACAGGTTGGGTGACCATGCAGTCCCTTGGTCACTCTTTACGTGTGAGCCTCAGTAATGAATGGCAGCAAGCTATTCAATAATTGAGGGAGGTGGGTACACATCGCAGCTGGTTTGGACTTCATACAACATCCATACAATACACCTTGTAGCAGTGGTGACTGGTCAGGAAACAGGTGCACTAGCTGATTCTTCTTCCTTTCAAGATCTACTGCAGTCCTTTCCCCCCATCCAACCACCACCTCAACTTGAGATCAACTCAAAACCAAAGAATGCTTGGCACTTTTTTTAAAAAACTAGATTTCCCTCGGCTTTTTTAAAAAAAAAATTACTTGAAATGGTTGATTTAAAACACAGATACCAGGTAGCTGTTCTAACCAGTGTATAACCAAGTCTTACGGTTGTCTATGCAATATTAAGTTGATTAAGTGCAAGGAAATCAGTAGCTGAGTAATTTAAACCCTGCCCAATTCCAATACAACTCTGTTCAGCTTAGCATGATCCAATTCTGAAGTGCATCCGGTTGCTGCAGTAAAGACACAATGCCATTGAAAGCAGACATCCTAAAATTCAGTGCACATTTCCAAAAAAAAAATTTGATCACTCAAACCACGATTGTTTGTGGGACACTGCTCTGCACATTTGGCTGCCCCGTTTCGCCCAAAAAACATACAGTCAAATCACTTTAGTCTATTCTGTGAAGAGTATTGAGACGTCTCAATGAGGTGATAAGGCGCTATATCAAATGCAAGGATTATTATATGTATGATTTGCTACTTGTATACAGATGTTCATACGGACATATGAGGTTGTTGCTGTGTACTCATTAAGACTCCAACCATGGATTATACAAAACATATCTCTCAACAAACACTTTGCTTAATAGAATAGATTCCAAGACATGTCAAATGTAAGTATTATTATTATAAGCATGGATAGTTTCTTCATATCTAAAATGTACCCCAAAATCAAGACTGAAATGGTTGTTTAGTGGACACACAGACTGGCAGTTTTGATAGTCACTTTTATTCACATCAGCTTGAACTCCAGCATTAAACTGAACGCGACACTAGAAGCACGGATTCCATGGGAAACCGGAACCCTACGTCAGCTTACTGCCTTAAAAGTAAAAGCAAATGACACAAATGCAATGTCAAACCGTCTGCTGAGGAAACATTGACTGCAATCTGGCTTAATTGCACTTAAAAGAATCAAAATGTTTCTGACGTGTAATTTCAGAACACCTATCACCCAGGAAATAAATACATCAGGATTTTTAAATGAAGGCACTGGTTTGATTTAAATCTGTACCTTATTAAAACTGGAGAAAATAATTTAATTCTAAAAATTAGAGCACTATTGGTACAGGAAAGCCTCTAATATACAGGGCATGGTTCAAAGATCTGCACTAGTACTCACTAAGATACCAGTGCTTGTGAGAGATGCTACTGGTTTATCACATTAGTACAGTGTAATCCAGATAAATACGATTTGCTGGGAAATGTTAAGCCTGGAGCCAATCTAGGTAGTGCAATTGAATGGAAATGCTTAATTGAACTATACTCTTGGATCAGATACAGGTGTATCCATAACTCCCTTCAAATAGTTTTTGGGAGAGTTGGAAAGTCAGCTAACTCGTTGTCTGACCATAACCACTTTGTGCAACCACTTTGAACACTCTCACAAACAGGCTGAGTGATGTGCAACTCCTTATGCTCCTGTTTTTTTCAAAAAAAAACTTGTCCAGTCCATTTTATACTAGAAGGGCTTTTAATCTGACCATACTTATAATAAGCTATCTAATTACTTTTAACAAAAATACATACCAAAATGCTCACTAACCAAAACAGTGAAAATCACAAATGCTGCAAAATTTGTTATGAACATATGTACATAGTTTTATATTTATAACGGTACATAAACATTCATTTTAGGTGCCTGTAGAATGAATGAAGGAAAGTGTGCATCAATGTTCTGAAGGAGCAGCAGCGCAGTGTATTTTATCCCTCTATGGAAAAGTACACCAGGATAAATCCAAGTCATTTTGCATTGGGTGCAACAGAATCCGAACACAATGACGGGCACTTCTGCCAAAGAAGCTGCTGCCTTGGGCGGGCATGGCTCACGAAGGTGCTTCCGCTGCTTTGAGCTCCTGCCCTTTCTTCTCCTGATTTTGTTCCTCGCATAGTTTGAAAATAATGTTGCGTATTTCTTCTCGCTTTTTTTTAACTCGCTGCTGAGGAAACCATTCCATCAAGTTCATAGGCAGCTCAAAGCTTGGGATCGGATTCTAAGAAGAACAAAGGTGAAACAACAATAAAGAGGGTGGTGCTGGAGTATTGTTTTTTTACATTAATAATGGTCATTGCTTTCAGGTTGCCATTGAAAACAATTGTTATAAATCTGGCTAATTACCAAATCTATCTTGGATTTTCATATCCAGCAATAAAACCAAATCTAAAATATTTATGCAGTTTTAAGATGGTAGCTTCTGCAAGGAATATTTCAAGATTGGCTGCAAAAGAACGGCATTGTTAACATTAAGAGACACTGTACCTGAATACATTTGCAGCAATCAAACATAAGATAATCTACATTTTGCTCAAATGAAAGTATCTACTCCCGAGTTGCTACCCTGCGTGAAGGGTGCTACATAAATGCAAGTTGTTGTTAAGTGTTAGAAGCGTGAGAATAGCACCCATGGACAGAGATTGCAATCCTCGATTTCGGGAGCACCATTGCAATTCCAACCCCACCGTGAGTGTGTAATAGGTTAATCATTGGGGTTCTACTGCAGCATACATTATTAATGCAGAAAGAGTTACACAAAAACAAGCCCTTTCCGGTTTCACATCCACGTCGACCCTCTCCCAAGCAGAAGGTACACCCACCTCAAAGAAGCTTTCTACATACTGCAGGACATAGACACCGCAGTCACTGAAGTTGTCTTGCTGTGGAACACGAGGATTGGAGCCCTTCATGACATCTTTGGTGAAATATCTTTTCCTACCTTTCCTCATTTCCCATTCTACTTCAAGGTACCTGTTTCAAAACCCAAAAAGGGAGTAAAATGGAAACTTTGCCTCTTGGATTTAAGGAAATCACGATTAAAGGAATTTAGAAAGGTTTGCTCAAATATCCTTACTCTCGTAGTATTTTAACCACATTTGTACGACTTGGTCCACGCAAAGAATCCATAATGAGAATGCATGGCCTGCAAGAGAGAACAGCAAGGTCTCAGGTAGCGAAAAATGCTAAAACTAACCTTACCCTGAAAAATATTGGCAAATTATATCTTACCAGTACCTAGAGTTCCCTACATTTCTATGTCTCTGATGAACAACAACAACAATTTGGATTTATATAGCGCCCTCCACGCCGGACAGCGTCTCAGAGAGCTTCACAGTAACGGCTCCCGGGGCTGAGCCAGGGGGAGGGGGAAGAAGGTGACCAAAGGCGCGGTCGAAAAAAAAAGGTCTTCAACTGAGACCTGAAAATAGGAAGAGAGGGGGCGAGATGAAGGGAGTGAGGAAGGGAGTTCTAGAGCCTCGGGGCATAGTGGCTAATTTTGGTCATCTTTCGTCCCCACACCCCCACCCTTAGCTCAACCAGAAATGTCAAGCACTTTGGGATGTCCTCCCAATGTTAAAAGCACTAAATCAGTGTAAATTGTACTGTATTTCCCTTGAAACAGCTAAAAACGACTAAAATCTATAGAGATTGGAGAGCTGCTAAAATTCTAAATCTGCATTTTATAACTAATTACAATAATTAGCACCTGAAACTTCACATCAGTGTAGAGTGAAGAATTATGACTATTTAACCCTTTCGAGAGGAGGATAGTTCCAAAAAATCTCCCTGAGCCGGCCATTATTGCGGTTCAAGCACCGCAGCACAGCAAAGGCCACAATTACTAATCGTGGTGAAACAATCGTGGTTTTGTTGGTGTGATATCATTGCACTAAAACATTAGCAAACTATTTATTCTAGGTCTGTCTTCTGACTGTCCTGGTGGTAGACACATTCTGCAGGAAGGTTCCATCGTGTCAACTGTCCTCTGGTATCTTTTCTAAATGGACATTCTTCCATTTGTAAATCTGAACAGTGAGACAGAGGGACTGCGGGATGGAGTTCGAGAGGGTGAGTGCAAAGTGGCAGAAGGGCTGCCGGCCAATAGCCCGCTGACCAGAAGTATGAATTGTGAATCTCTTCTTTCTAGCCTGATGTCAATGATGCTGCTGATGTCAATTGTAGCCCTCCGATCGGCTGCTCTGGCTGAGACCAATGAAATCAGCATGCAGCAAGGACCTCTCTCACCTGAATCTCTCACTATCACAACAGGCAATACATTTACCCAGAGATAACAGGAAAGTTCCCAACTTGGAAGTAGACGGGTCTATTTCCACCACGCAATACATACTCACTCATACTCAAGTACTCACTGTTTAGAAGGTCGCTGACCCCATGGCACACTTTCTGAAGAGCTTTCCTCAGCCACACTCCCAGCATCATTATTGTCCTCCTATACACAGCATAAGCTCTACAATGAATACTGCAATCAACTGAACACACTAATATAACTTCTACTGAAAAATCTACTTAAAATTAAGAACTTTAGTTTCTAAGGTGCCTTATGCATTGAAATGACTCAAAATACTTTACAGTTATTGTCAAGTGTAGTGACTGCTCTTTTTTTAGGCAAATGTGAAAGTCATGTTTGTGACAGCAAGGTCCTACAAACAGCCATAAGGCAAATGATGAATTTATCTCAAGAACCATTGGCCAGGATAGTCAGCAGGGTGAAATACCTTCCTATTCATAAATAGTGCCAAGGGATCTTTTTAACATCCAACTGAACAGGTAGAAGGACAGCACTTCTGATAATGCAGTGCTTCCTCAATACTGCGCCAGAATTAGATTGTAAGTTCAAGTCCCAGTGTGGGGTTTGAACTTATAATCTTCTGACCCAGAAGTGAGAGTGTTACCAACAAACACCTAAAATAAGACTATTTCCCACTGGATTGTATAACATAATATTTCAGGAGTATTTTGCCCACAAATATACAGTCAATTCACTTTACAGTCTATTCTGTGAAGCGCTTTGAGACATCTAGAAGATGTGAAAAGCGCTATATCAAATGCAAGGATTATTATTATTATTATTACGTTAAGACAAGAGGGAGTTGAGAGCACTATCAGCTTCACTATAGGAAAAAAAACATAATGTTTAAGTTTCCAACAATAGAGGCCTGTGAGATGGCCTTTCGGAGACCAGGAAAAGGAAATCAGAGTATGGTTTCAAATTTCTCAAAGGGGAAAAGGTATTTTGGATTTTCCACAGAGTTGAGCTACTACATTAATCGTGACCGTAAGAGCAGAAGACGACATTTGGAAAATTAGTACACAAAAAAAAGGGCTATAAATTAATCTGCAATCCTCAATAAATATTGCTCCACAGATCACCTAGTATTTTTTCATACTCATTATGCACTGGAAGTTGAAAAGTGTTCGCAATATGTGTAAGTTATATACTGTACAGAAACACCACCTATACAATTGTTTGAAAAGCAAATCTCCATAACAAAGGTATACACAGTTCCTAGCTACTATAAGAACAGAGCATTCATCATGACCACGTTAACTAGGGAAAATAATGCTAAGGCTAAATATTTAAAATGCTTCTCATGCATTAGCTACACACTTGTAGTTAAAATTGAACAGAGTTCACAATTACATGCTTTGACACGACTTCAGTCTTTTCAAGAGGGCACAATTCTTACCAAGTTTAGTTCAACAGCAAGCCTGTTGCTCTATTTATATTGCTGACTGGACATGATAAGTACAGTATGAATCTGATTTCAGGCTTGAAATCATTAGGGGTAAATTGCACTGCAGAAATGATACTGGACAAGATTGTTTCACTAATAAACTTTGTGTCGCTGCAGTGTAAACTCAGTGACCGGTTTATTTAGTCACTGATCTGATTGGTTTATTTTCCCAATTGTTTCTAACATAATAAGGTTCCAGGAACGGGGGATGGCTGAGAGAGAACAAAACCATCAGTAAAGCTCCTCTTGACATTATTTATTTAGCAGTAATCACAAAATAAATCTTAATATTTTTGCACATAACGCAACAAACCTGAAGGCATTGTGTGATTTACACAACACCATCGGATGTTACACGCATCCCTATCCGCAAAAAACTGCCTGGTGTGATGAAAGCACTGAACAAAATGGAAGCCCACCTGGCTGTACTCTTGATCTTCCATGAAGTCAAAAGAATCATCGTGTTCGTCAGTATAGCTGATCTGGATTCTCGTTAAGGCATCTGTTTAGAAAAATACAATGCATATCAGCACCAGTTTTAAATTGCCAGTAATTAGCAGTAAGCCCTCAAATTGTAACTACTGAGAAAATGCCACTGGTCAGAACAGGCTATATTAAAAACAATTTCTGGAATTTAAAACCACAGTTGCTCATTTTATACTGATCCCTCAAATGACACATTGTGTGGTTGTTTCCCCGCCCCTCTGCTGGATGCAGTTTTGCAGTGCTGGCTATGTACAAGTAGCTGGCTTTCTTATGTGAAGCACAGGCAGCAATTGCTGTCAGGTTATTCCACTCTGAGCACCAATTCTCAATTCACTTCAGCTAAGGGTGACTTTAACCCGGTACAATCTCTAATGGCACAAAATTCCAACTTTTAAGAGGGTCCTGTGTAGAACCTAATTTGAGATGTAACAATGATATGATAAGTCACTATATCAAATGCAAGGATTATTATTATTAAGGATTATTATTATTAGAGGAGATGACACCCAGGTAACTGGTGCCTATAGTTGAGCGACAACAGGAAAACTAAAAGAAATGGGCGATAAGGCCACGAACAAACATTTTCTGTTAGAAACATGGAACATCTTGAGAAGTGTCCTCTAAGGTAGTGCAAACATTTGAGGTATTTGAGTTCAAAATGAAGAGTTTAAGAATTTTCTAAAATTCTGCACAATCTTAAATGTTAAGACAACGATCTTAAGCCTTTCTTCAATCTCCACAATATTGCCCATTGGCACCACATCTCTGCCCTCAAATGTAGCTAAAATTTTCAATCAGGTCTTTGCATCTCCAGATTTAACTTCCCCAATTCCACCCTCCACAAGCTCCAGATCAGAGAACTCCAAATGACACATCCTCTCTTGCAACACTCTGCAACACCCTCACCCCCATCCTCGCTTGGTTCTACTGGCTCCCCAAACCCCAGCGGATCAACTTTCATAACCTTGTCCTTCTCTTCAAATGTCCCCATGGCCTTGCGCCACCCTGCCTCCCAATCTCTCTCCTACTCAAGTCTTCGAAAAGTGCTTTGAAATTTTCTCCCTACATGAAAAGTACTGTGCACGTGACAATTGTTATACAAAACCCCTAAGATTAAAATGATTGTCTTGCATTTTGATTGGATAAACAGACCAGATACCTAGTGGTTTACTCTCTGTGCCAGTTCCATTTTCTGATTTTTGGCTTGCATTTTGGTCGTTTTCCGATTCTGTATCTGGATGACTAACGTCACTGGGAAGTTTATTTGTAGAAAAGCAAGTTTTTCTTGTGCTAAGTTTATTTAAGTCTGTGCTCTCACAGCTGCCGGCAGCATGTATGTCAGGTGTTTCGTCTGTTATGTCTGGTGTCTTGCTTAGGATATTTGCAGCAGTTGGGTTCTCCGATGAACCTTCAACCTCCTCTTGCAACAATGGCTGCTGACTGCTCCTCTCTTCTTCTACAGGACTGTCATGCCGCATTCCTTCATTTTCCTGGGAATTTGTATTTGGCTCAATATTGAGGCCAGGAAAACAAATCACAGCCAAAAACCAATGGGCCCTTTAGCAATGAAAAGAAAAGCAATGATGCATTATTGTCAGTTTTGTTATTAAATTAATCCCTTTTGTTTAATTCAATGAACAATTCACAGGACTGCAGATGAAATATGTTGTTAAAACATCATCAACTGGTTTTCAAAGTAAAACTTCTATTGTAGGAATGCTGATGATGGTCTCTCAAGTGGAACACAATCATCATTGGGAGAATAGTTAATTCTAATAAAATTCTTTCATGTGGAATAATTGCACATGTCTGGGTCACGAAAGTTCAGAGGCCCACATTTCCTTACAAGCTTAACAAAAAATCATGCAGAATTTTTGAAAAATTCTTATAAATTCACTGGTCTTAAAAGGAACGGTAGAAACGTGAAGGCTTAATTAAAGAATTTTCTAAAATTGTGCACAACTGTATTTCTTTTTTAACTTTTGATGTTCTCTCTCCTTAGAGTTTCTTTCAATCTTAAAATGAGACCTGAATGATTTTATTATTTTGGGATGAGGTGATGAGACCGCATCACTCTGGGAAGAGAGGCCAAGTGGAAAGCATATACAGTGGAACTCTCAGTAGCATAGTTTGAAAACTCGTAAGCAAGTTATGTGTGTTTGTGTGTGTGTGTGTGTGTGTGTGTGTGTGTGTGTGTGTGTGTGTGTGTGTTAGAGACACACCAGTCCGACCAGAAAATCAAAATGTGGGTTTCATTTTAAGACTGAAACAGTTAAGACTCCCTCGAAGGGAGAGGACATCAGTTATCAGAATGCTGACCAATCCCTAAACATAAAAGACTTTTATGACAATTATGACCCCCAATGGGTGGCTGGATACTCACGTTTCATTAATGGGAACGAAAACAAAATCCTTCTGGAAGAGATCCACGTGTCTGGTCCAGTTTTTCACTCTTGCATGCCGTCGCTGTGGTAACCTGCCAGATACGCATTAGAAGATGCTTTGAAGTTACACAGCACATGTATTCAGCAGAAAGCCATACAATGCTGTTAACCAGGACAAAGAAACACACTTTGTATGGAGCCCAAATGGCTCATAGAGGCCTACAAATATATACCAGAGGGCTGAATTTCTAATCAATGCTATGTGTAGCAATACACGTCAGCATCTAATGGATTTTTAACACTATAAATGACACATCAAAGTCGCAATGAGCGGTGTTGACTTGGAATTTTAGCTTGCAGCATTTAAACCTTTTTTTTAAAAAACCTCAAATCTGAATTAAATAGATATATCAAAATAAACTAGAAATGTGAACAACTCTGCCCACAAAATCTAGTTAAATTACTTTACGGTACATTCTGTGAAGCGCTTTGAGACGTCTCGAAGACGTGATAAGGCGCTATAGCAAATGGAAGAATAACTGTGGACATTATTCAAAATGCAGCCATAATACTTCCTTTGCAGGGAAATGGAAATACAACTGAACAACAGCAGCTTTCATTTATTTAGAGCCCTCCACACATTGCGCCCCAGAGTTCTTAACACTGGCAGAGCAAAGTTGATTTGTAACTATGAGTTCCAGAACTTTTAATACTTCTACCAAATGTTTGAAAGGGAGCACATAGATAATATATAGCTCATCTTCAATGGTGATTTGGGAAGCCAGAAGTACTAATCAAGCTTAAAATGTGGTCAAAACATTTAAAATCCATATATTAAATTTCAGATATAAATTGACAGTATCAACATTAACTGAGGAGCTTTTATTTGGTAGGAGCTGAAAGGATGGTAAAGAAGGTTTGGAGAACATAAGGGACCTTTACAAAACCAATTGCATGTCTTTGTATGTGGTATTACAATCTTCATATTAACAGTAGTAAGCTAGGGGAGAAGAGGAAGGAAGAGAGAAGAAAATGGGATGCCATGATCCTGATTTTCAATTTACTTACGACAGGTTGGGTGGGTCCATAAGGTTTCGTCGTTCTCTTTGATTTAGACGTTTATAAAAGAAGGAGCTAAAAATATGTATTCTGTTCGCATCCTGTTGTTTCATCTTTTCCAGCACCAAGAATCTGCAGAACGGGTTAGAACAGAACACACACAAATGAACATGTGGCAGGTGAGGGAGCTGACTTCTGTAATACTGGTTCTTTGTTACAAGCTTTAGTTTTGAATACCAGGTCTCCCCCACTTCTCATTTGAGGTCCAAGTGCCAAGAATTCATCTTCATATTAAGCCTTGCAATATTGACATTGCCCTCTCTCGACCTCCCCATCCACACTTACTTTTGATCGTTTCAGTTACTTATAAAGTTTGTATGTTTAAGGAGAATTTGAAGCAACAGAGTATACATTTTCTGCTCATGTCATTTTCCTATATATACACAAGCGCACACAAATACATAATAATAATAATAATAATAATCCTTGCATTTGATATAGCGCTTTTCACGTCGGGAGGACATCCCAAAGCGCTTCACAGAACACACTGTAAAGTGAATTGACTGTATATTTGTGGGCGAACGCGGCAGCCAATTGCGCACAGCAATGTCCCACAAACAGTAATGGATTGAAAATGACCAATTTATTATTGTTTTGTTTTTGGAGGGATTATTATTAGGCGTGTGGAGTAAGGAAACTTGCCCAAGGTTTCGCCCTGCCTGGAATTGAACTCAGGTCTCTCGCTTGCAAAGCGAGTGCTCAACCACTGAGCTACAGGACTCCACTCATATATATTACCACCCCAATCCTATCTAGATGCCAGAAGGAATAAAGATTATGCTTGGATTCTATGCTTGAGCAACAGTTAATGTTCTTTGGTGGATTTTTTCACAAAAATAACCAAGAGAACCAAGGGTTCTGGCTCAGTTGGTAGCACTTTCAGCTTGAATTCTAGGTTCACCTTGGGAATTTGAAACTCAAATCTAGGGCAGTGCTGGCGAGAGCATTGCCATGTCGTAAGTACAGTCCTTTGAATGAATCATTAAACTGAGGTCCCATCTGTCTGTTCAGGTGGATGTTAAAATCTCATGACATTATTCAAATGGCAAAGGGAGCTTTTCCCGGTATTCTGGCCACCAATCCTCCAGTTAAAATTGGTCAATTTCATTATTGTTGGTGGGACATTACTGTACTGAAATTGGCTGTCATTTGCACACAAATAGTCACATCACTTTACTGAAAATTCATACTCTTTCAAATGTTCAATATGTAGGTATTATAATAAATGCAACAATAATTATTAATCATATGTGAAACTTTACAATCCAATTGTCAGGCGGTGTCAATTCTACCCACTCTGTACACCAGTAACTACCATTTTCAAGGAAAACATTTTCTTCTGCCTAAATGAAAAACGTTTCACCATTAATTTCATCATTTCACCAGCATTGCTTTATTCCGGTTTTAGCCACTAGGCTGTGCATAAATAGAACTAATCACCCTCTAGTTCTAGGTGGAGTCATGTTGCAGCCAATCTGAGACATCGCCACCTTGTGAACACAAATAAGTATCACAAATTAACGAAATGCTGAAGTAACAAGGCAAAGCAGAGGATGACTAGCGAACAATGGTGAAACAAATGTTTTTATTTAAAATTAACATTGGAGCTGGAACAACATATTGAACTGAGGAACTGAATATATATACAGTATATATAGTAACTGGGCAGCTGTATATTTCGCCTACAAAATATACTCAAATCACTTTAGAGTTTATTCTGTAAAGCGCTTTGAGACGTTTCGAAAATGTGATAAGGCGCTATATCAAATGCAAGGATTATTATTAATTATAATATGCCAAGCACCAGTCAAAAGCCAGACCCTGCAATGATTTGTAGATGAGAACAGACCTCCAACAAATAATGATAATAACCCATCCATTTCGATTTAACAATTTTATTCTACCAAAATGTCTCAAAAATCTCAGTTTTCAGTTAATTGTAACAACCGTATATTTGCCTGTTAACGGCTCTGAGATGGTACCGTGAGTGAAGGACTCTACATAAATGCAAGTTGCTGTTGTTACTGTAGGCAAATGCAGCAGACAACGGTCACACACCAATGTCCCACCAGGTGAATGACCTTTTCGTGTAAAAATAGTGTTTGCAAATTATTTTTTAATTTTCTCTCCGTTAGCACCCGATTCTGGTTCCCTCCTTTGATGGGTTGCAGTTCCACAGTTATCCCATCCAAGAGGGCATGGCAACGAGTGCTGGCAAGTAACTCAACTGCAGAGGCGGTCACAATCAACCATCTCCTTTCCCTATCCAGCTGCCACAAAAGTGCACAACCAGTAGAGGGAGACAGCTGGGCCAGGAACTCGATCTGACCTACTTTGCCTCTGGGAACAGCAAATACAGCACAGATCAATTGAACCGTTCAGTTCGGAACCGAAAGATTGAACTCTACCCACTACACCATCAGGGCTGTCACAGACCATTTTGGATTGTTGGCTAGGACACTCTACCATCTCTTTTTAAATAGCACCGTGGGATTTTTAATGTTCACTTGAACAGGCAGACATGGTGTAACCGAAGGACAACACCTCTGAAAATGTCAGCCTAGTCTGTGAGCTCAAACTCCCAATGTGAGCCTCAAACCCTTTGACCGAGACGAGTGTTACCAGCTGAGACAGGCTGACACCATCAGCCAGTATGAATACATTTACCCACATCTGAAATTAAAATAATTTGCCAGTGATTCCTTTTTACTGTAAAAAGGGAAAAGTAATTTTCCCTTTTTTTGAATTGCTCTGGCGTTTCAAGCCTGAACCATGAGCTCATGGAGATATGGAGCTTAAACCCACAAGCTTCTGAGTCATGAGGTAAGAGCACTACCGACTGAGCCAAGCTGACACCTAGCTGCCCCAAGCAGATATACATAATGCCTCACATTAATTCAGAGATTAAAAGACAAAGAACACATTTAGGCAAAGAAGCACATTTCTGATAAAAACAACTTACTTCAAATAAAAATCTATTATAACATCATTCAGGAATTCTCCCTCTTTCAGACAATACAGATCTTCATTAGTCACAGAAATGCCTCCCTTAGATGGTGGAGGTGGATAGACTATCAACCTGAAAATAAAAGAATACAACGAGCGTCAGCTATCAGAATAATAATCTTAATGGTTTCTCCATCTAAATGGAGTAAAACCCGAACCATTCACTGCAAAGAGCTGAAGTAAATGACTTCAAACACCGCATGTAATCTAAAAGTCAAAGTCTAACTTTCTCCAGTTGAATATCGACAAGACCGAGGGCCTCCTGCTTGGATCCTGTCAGCACCTCCTCACCTCAGGTGCTGACAGTATCACTGTTCGTGGACGCACACTCCAACTCACCGAACCAGTACGGAACATTGGTGTCTTGTTCGATCCTCAACTGTCTTTTAAACCCCACATCCGTGCGGTGACCCACTCTGCCTTCCACCAGCTCCACCAAATTGACTGTTTTTGCCACTGCCTCTTCACTCAGGTTATCGAGATCCTCATCCACGCTTTCATTACATCCAGACTTAACTACACTAACTCCCTGCTTGTTAGTCTTCCCAACTCTTCCCTCCACAAATTACAGATTATTCAGAACTCTGTAGCTCATGTCCCCTCTTGCACTAAACTCAGTGAGCTGATCACCCCCATCCTCGCCCAGCTTCACTGGTTCCCCATTTGCCAAAGGATCAAGCTTAAGATTCTCGTTCTCACTTTTCAAGCCCTCCACATTCTCGCGCCTCCCTACAACAAATTGCATTTATTTGGCACATGCAATCTCCTAAAACCTTACCAACTCACTAAAACCTTACCAACCCACCGAATGTGACCCACTAAAACCTTACCAACCCGCCAAATGTGACCTACTAAAACCTTACCAACCCCCCGAATGTGACCTACTAAACCTTACCCCCTTTTTGGTAAGGGTTTAGTAGATCGCATTTGGCGGGTTGGTAAAGGGATACAGGGCAAGGCCTGCTCTATGTCCCCCACCCTGCCCACTCCACCATTGGCGGTCAGGCCTTCTGCCTTTCTGCCCCCACTCTGGGAACTCCAACCCAGAACCATCCTGCCTCACCCCCTTCCTTTTCTCCTTCAAGGCACATCTCAAGACCTTCCACTTTGACCATGCCTTTGGTCATCCTCCCACCTTCACCCCGCTTGTCCCCCACCCTGCTCGATTCCGACCCCCAGCTCAAATCCTTGACTGTCCAGGGCCTTGGGATGTTTTCCCGATGTGAAAATACTCTCAACATAAAAAATAAACAAACATCACGGGAAAAAATCTTTTTCAATACAAAGTCATCAACATTTAGCTACATTATTACGAAAAAGATGGGAATAAGGTGTACACAACATAGTATGTTAAAACTCTGACCTGAAGTACCTCCAGGGCAATTATCTTTAACCCAGAATACTTTCATTGAACACATACTTCGAAATGCAGTGCCTTCAATGTTTCTAAGTAGACTTACTTCTCAATAGGACCCGTGAAAGACGAAAGCGATGATCCTAAATCATCATCATTTAAATGCGTTGTGTTCCGCAAACAATATTTTGTCATGATCTAAAATGCAAGATTTGAAGAAACACAGGTCACGTGTAGCAAAATATAGAAATACAGAGACAAGGGAAGCGTGCAGCTTTAAATAAAGCTATTCCTAATGTTCCACAGGTTAAGCACACATGATGACTGTAAGACACATACCAGGAGTGCCTCAGCGCTAACCTCTTTAGACATGTGTATTCCTGGCTCACAAAGTAGCACCCTCGTCTGAGTCAGAAGACTGTGAGTTTGATCCCCATGACAGGGCTTGGAGAGAGTTGGCAGTCGAGCCTGGTTGTAATGAAGGCTACACTTCAGAAGAAGCACTTTGAGATGTTTTGACGTGATAAGATGCTATTATAATAATAATCCTTGCATTTGATATAGCGCTTTATCACGTCTTCGAGACGTCGCAAAGTGCTTCACAAAATATACTGTAAAGTGAATTGACTGTATATTTTGTGGGCGAAATGCAGCAGCCAATTGCGCACAACAGTGTCCCTCCCACAAACAGTCGTGGATTGAGTGACCAAATTAAAGATGATACCAGGGCTTAAAAGGTTAAATTATAAGGACAGGTTGCATAAACTTAGTCTCTTTTCCTTTGAGTTTAGAAGGTTGAGGGGTGATCTGATTGCGTTTTTCAAAATAATAAGTGGATTCGATAGGGTAAATACAAAAACACTATTTCCTCTGGTGGGGAATCCAGAACAAGGGCCATAATCTTAAAGTTAGACCATTTCTTGGCCATTTAGGAGTGAAACCTGGAGGCAGTTTTTCACTTGAAGGGTAGTGGAAATCTGGAACTCTCTATTTACATCTGCAAGACTGAGATGGATAAATATTTGTTAGGTCAGGGTATAAAGGGATACAGGGCAAGGGCAGGGAATTGGACTTGAGGTACAGATCAGCCATGATCTAATAGAATGGCGGAACGGGCTTGAGGGGCTGAATGGCCTACTCTCGTTTCCAGGCTATTATGCAAGTGTTATTATATTTAACTATTCTTCATCATTCTTTTCTCTACACTCTACACTCAGACCATTGGTTTGATATCCCTGTGTTTACTAAATTTAGAGACAATGTAACGGTGGCTAAATAAAGCAGAATTTCAAGAATGAAAGATCTAATCTTTAACAGAAATGGAAGAAAACAAGCCCAGTTTAGCTTGTTGATGCCTTGCCTTGAAGATTTTTTGCAACATTTTCAGATCTTATCAAACAAAGGACAATATGAGTTCCAAGTCCGATCTAGGGCTTGAACGCACAACCTGTTCACTCAAAAGCAAGTGTACAACCAACTGAGCCAAGCTGACACCTTAATTTAAGGTTAAACCTATAAGGCTGAGTGAGATGGTGCACTGATTTTCAGTGCAATCCCAGTAACCACAGTTTACTGATGCCAGCACTGAGTGGCCGCCTTCCTTGGTACGGCACACAGGCATAGCAGGCCTCCAGACATCAATGGTGTTCACAGTAACCACCAAAAATGCTCAAGAGCACTTGCCACTGACTGGCTGGTTTCCGGCGCAAGCACAATGGCTCTGAGACATCAGTGACGACCCTGACAATTGTGGAAGTGCTGCCGAGCGACCACACTATGACACATTGTTATAACACATGAGCTTAGTTGATGACCCCAACTGCCACGCCATTATAACGGGAGGCCGTGTCACGGGAATCCAGATCATCTCCATCATGAAGCGATGGTTGGAATGTCTAAGTATCCAAAAGAGCAAAGGACAATATGAAGCAAAGTGATAAAACTTGTTTTTGTGGCCAACATCCAGCACATCTATCACATCAGTCAAAAATATGGGATACGTTTTTCGGATTAGTATTTAATAAAGCTATTTTAAAAGGGCTTGAGTTATTTCTTTGCTTTTGCTGGGGACACTGTGTCCAGTCAGTTATTAACAAGATAACTTGTAGGCATATCACTGCACCAATATGAGGATCGAAATATTTCATGGCCTTAGTCTTAAAACCATTATGTTAAAATTGTGCAGAATTTTGAAAATACACAAATCCAATCCTAATATGGAAGCAGGCTCTCTTTTTCTTTAGTAAGGAATCCAGTTGTAAAATACAATTTTCCTTTGGTAATGAATTATGTCATGCGAGCAATTTTAACAGGAATAAGGAATTTTAATAAGGAATCCTGTTAAGAAAAACAAGCTGGCTCCAGCATTAGATATTGTACAATTCTCAAGGCAACTTCTCAGAGGGTTTACAACCAACTGTTGTCCTAAGCAAAGATGGATTATTGCTAGTCAGGTTTAGTTCTCTCACCACTTTTTTTCCTTCCCTTCCCAGTGGCATTTTTCCTTCTAACATAGTACGGTTACAAGAATTCTAAACTATTTTGTGTCCCCACATAAGAACAGAGAATTAATCTCAGATGCTCTTAACAATCTGCTTTCCAAGAAGTGCATCTAAAAAAAGAATAATCAAATGGCACTGTTTCAGGTCAGGTAAAACAGATAACGTGGTTTGGAGTCTCAAAACCCACAAAGCTCTCGGCCCAAATCTATTTCATATTCCCTTTTTGTCTTGCTTTTACCTAAAAGGTGCGAATGCTATGATAGTGGAATGGCTTGTTTTAACAGCAATAATGTTTACCTTATTGTCCTTGAAAAAGATGTTTCCTGGGTTATTTTCTTCTAGGTTGTGTGCAAAAAAATCAATCCTGTGGTTTGCTTCTAGAAATGAAATTTTGGCAAAAAAATCCGGTATATTGTTCTTTTTCCCAATTTCCATACAAATCCTTTCAAAAATAGCATTTGCTCTATTGTCCGGTGCACTTTCAAAAATCAGGACAACATAACGTTCATTATCATCTGAAATACACAAAATGTACGAGAAACACGGTTCAATAGATAAACCAGACTTCTGCGTTCTCCAGTTCAGAATACAGGAGTAGCCAAGATCTGCGATGTTTCTATATCTTAAGCGTTATAACCAACTAAAATGTACATTTGCCAATCACCCAATACAAACTTTGTAACAGTAAGGATGGACATTTCATGTTGGTGCTAACAGCTGAAGATTTGTGATGTTTTTGTAATAAGAAAGGTACTGTATTCTGGTCAAGTGTAGCCCTGTGTCTGGAGGATGAGCACCCAGGACACATTCACAATCCCAGCAGCACAGTAATCACTATTTAGTTTATAATCCATTTGATCATGTTTTGTCCTTCCTCCTTCCCCCTTCTCCAAAGTTAATCTGGAACGGGGGCGAGGGGGAAAAACACCAATCTAGGATGGGGTGGGGGGGAACCTAAAGTTAAACAAAAGAAGTCAGAAGAAGTTTTAAAGAAACAGTACAGAAAATCATACCAAACACTTTTCTACACAAGCACCAAATTACTAACAAAGTAGAAGAGCTTGGTAACAAAATACATGAAAGAGGCAGCAGGAATGCTCATGGAATGTTACAAGGTCCAATATTAAATCTTTTTAATTCTTGACAAATGACAATTCACTCGTTTTATTTTCTACAAGTTGCCAGAGTTTCGCATTTGTTTTGGTAAAAAAAATCGGTAGATAGAAATAAAAACTGGCTTGAGGTCAGTTAAAGTGGTAAACTGGGGAGTCGCTGGTACAGATTAGATAACTGACAGCAGCACGAGGGTACTCGAGAAAAAAATACTGCAACTACAATTTAAAGTAAGTTCAGCAGCTTTCCTGCTATGAAGATCAATTTCAAGTGATGTAAAGTCCAATACTCAATTGAGATTCGGTGAAGCATTTAGCTTGTTGCATATGAATGAATAGATTGAGAAAGACTACTGAGGTCAGTCAGGAAGTCACAAAACATATATTTTTTTAAAAATTATTACACTACTGCTTTCATAAACCATATGTGGCTTGAACTGCATTCTGCTTTACACACTTTAAGATGAAGTAAATAAGACCTTGGAGGTACACACATTAACTCCTGTGGATGTGCCACTTTTATTATCTTCAACAATACAGTGGGTTGTACTTACTGTCCCCCTGTGAGTCATACCAGACCCCCTTTTCCTTGTTCATTTTGAATGAAGATCGTAAGTTGTGGGAAGCAGTGGGTGTTAGCTTCAAAAAAGCTACTGGTAATGCTCGTGAATTGCACCATTCACACATAATAAGCTCCGAAGCTTCTAAAACAACATTGTGCGATTCTTCTTTAGGCACTACAGTGAAAGAATGGGGAGAAAGACAACTAAATTCCACTTGTATTTTCTTTGGGCACTTTAACAGCTTTTGTTTGGTTAATTAGTTATTGTAACAAATGTTTCCGGTTGATGGTTTAAATGGGGAGCTTCATTAGCAGAAACCAACCTGCCCGCTCCCTCGGTTCATCAGGCTCCAGCCTGCTCCATGTCTCCGCCCGATCAGCCCTAGCATCGGTGGTCAGGCTTTCAGCCTCTCTGCCCTCACACTCTGGAACTCCATCCCACGGTCCCTTCGCCTCGCTTCCTCCCTTGCATCCTTCAAGGCTGGTCTCAAGACCCTTCTCTTCGACCGTGCCTTTGGTCTCCCTCCCACCTCTCTGCCTTCCCTCACCCCTACATCACCCCTCCCCCATGCTCGGGCCCCGACATCTGATTGTTCAGCGCTTTGGGACATCCGCCCAACGTGAAAGGCGCTCTATAAATCTAATTTTGTTGTTGTTGTTTTGAGAGCAAACTGATGAACAATTCTGATTAAACACCATTTCTGTTTCGTGGTTTCTCTAGTCTATCTCTGTTTGATCAGAAGACACTGAGGACAGCATTTCCTGAGTTAACAATAACACAAAGCCAAATTATTCATTCAATCAGGGTGCTCCAACAATCCACTTGTTTCACTGTAGGTAATTGGACACCTTCAAATTCCCACCATTCAAAGTAGCTTCCAAGCACACAAGAAAAAATCATTTTCATAATGCCTTCTCACCTTGAAGTGCCTCAAAGCACTTTGTTGGAATCACCAACAGTTTAGGCAAATACAAATATAGACTGTGCCACCAAAATAAGGAAACTACAAGGTCCCAATTAGTTTGAGCACCGGTTACAATGTCATCATTCGGCTTCTCCCAGACTGTGGCTTCACCCAACCTGAACTCAGGGAAAAAATCTAATTAAAGTCTTCAAAGTTCTTTTTTTTTGGTCAATCTGACAAGAAGAAAATATTCATTATGCTTAAGAGGCTCCACACCAAACCGCCAAGAGTTCCACTTATGCATGCTTTTTTGTTTGCCTGGTATGCAATGTATACTACCTTCCCAGAGGGATGCAATCCCAAAGGGACAAGGTTCAGCTTGGTACGAATCAAGTCTTGGGGACCACAGAATATGCATTGAATTATTGCTACAGTCCAGCCAGCTAATGCGGATGGTAATCAGTGTAGCAAGCTTCCCGTTGCTCGTCTAGCTGGGACCACCCTACTTTTTGGACTTCTGTTTATATGGTTAGCAGGGGCAAAATGGAAAAATCCCTACCTCCAGCGACTGGTCTGCTCCCCCACATTTTGCCAATGAACCAGGTTGGTTGTCTGTCACCAAGCATGCCTTAGACTATTATGGACCTGTCTGACGGAGGTATTACAACTACCATGATCCCAAAGTGGAGCAACTCAATTTTGATCTTCCATTGCCAGAAACATCAACTTAATTCCCACTTGTTATCATACTGCAGGAATAATCTATCATTGTCTATCCTCAAACATTTAAAAACATTTTTTTTCAAAATTTCTGAAAGATTTAGAGCATTGATAATGAAAGATTACTCCCACTGTTTGGAAAATTGACAGCAAGAGGTGGGAAGGCAAGATGAGAACAGTCAGAGAATTCAAGTCACACAGAATGTTATTGGAATTTTTTGTCGCTTGGCTATTGAGGCCGTACCTGCAACATTTAAAAGAGAATTAGTTAAAGAGGAAGATTAATAAAGGGAAGGGGAAAGAGTAGAGAATTGGAATTAAAGTAGGAATATCCAGAGGAGAAGCTGACAGCAGCATAGACGAGAGGCTGTAATTTCTACGATCGAACACATTTAAAGCTCCATTGATTTTCAAACTGAGAACCACATCATTCTTACCTCCCAGGTTGACCTTGATAAAGTCCAGAGAGAACTGAAATGAAAGAAATAAGTGTTTACAAATCGCAGAAAAGCTAGCTTCATTGACCAGCAAGTTTAACTAAGTTACAATATTTTGCATAATCTTAAAAAAATTAATTAAAAAATGCTTTGCCACTCAATTAAGATGCAATAATATGTATTTCAAATGTTATAATAATCCTTGCATTTTATATAGTGCCTTTCACATTGTCAAAACATCTCAAAGTGTTTCACAGAATATCATGTAAAGTGTATGGGCGTTTTGTAGGCGAACATGGTAGTCGATCTACACTAGACACGTCTCACAAACAGCCGTGAAGTGAATGACTAATTTTATCTGAAGGATTGTTGGATATTAATTCTCTTCCACCAATACCATGGGATCTTTAATATCCACCTAACAGGCAGACAGGACCTCAGTGTACCATCTCAACTAAAAAACAGCACCTCCAACAATGTAGCAGTACCCCAGCACTGAACTGACTAACCTAGACTGAGTACAAAATCCTAATGTGGGACTTCTCACTCAGTTTTCTGACTCAGAGGCGAGAGCTTGAACTATAATTATTGCGTACACTTCAAAATTTTATTTCATGCAAGATCAATGGCTCATTAGCGGCCCATTCAAATTTCACTAACCGCTCAGTGGCTTGATAGCAAAACTGAGTACGCCATTGGATCAAACTCAACCTGCAACATACATATCTCTGATTCTCCAATTCAGCAGCATTCACTTTTTGCTTATAAATGTTTCTGCATTAAGTAACTCATTTCTTTTTGAGTTTGTGCAAAGTTTTTATTTCCACAATGGGTCTGGCAATAAATGATAACCTTGGAACAATCTGGGAAATACATTTACTCACAATAACGGGCTCTAATACCACTTTGCGTAGGGTTCCTATTCGAATACTTCGGCACTTGAGAATAATACTTTCACAGCTGGTTTCTGCTTGTGTACCAGGAGCGTCACCGTGCACCTGAGAGCTTTCAAATTTTCTTTTTTTGACCGTTGGCTCAGGAAAAGGATTTCCGAACTACAAGAACGAAGTACAGACAAGAACAATCATTTAAACTGAATTAAACTTTAAACTTCTGGGTTGGTTGCACTGTATATTTCTATGTTTCTATTGAGAGAAGCTTTTTTCATTGATAGCAGAGTCAGTAACTAGGGGACATAGTTATAAGAGAGCGACAAGAGTAGTGAAAGGAGAACTTAGGAGGATTGGTTTACGTGCAGAATAGCTGGGATGTGGAATGCCCTGTCAAATAGGGTGGAGTTCATTGTAGCTTTCAGGAGGGAAGAGAGGCTTTAATGGGTATGGGGATAAGGTAAGGCTGTGTGATTGACCCATATCCGTGCTCTGTGAGCTGGTGCAGATTTGATGGGCCAAACGGCCTTCTGCTCTGCAGATTTCTAATTGCTTAACCACTTTTTAGGCACATTATCGGATAATGTGTTTGTGTACATGGGTTTAAAACCAATTAAAAATATTTCTTCACGTTTCCAGCCTTATATTTCAAAAATATTTCACACCATTCTCAGATCGAAGGGATCAAGTTTTCAAATTAATTAAGAAATTAGGAAGAATGTCAAGTATCCCACAGATGTGATTTTTTTAAAAAGAATTTTCTGCATAACATGCAGTAACGAAAGGCAAGCAGCATACAGAGCAATCCTGTTATAACAAAGGTGCCTGGATCCAATATTTCGGGCTCTGTGTTAGAAACAAAACACAAAAAATTGCCAACCTCCAGGTTACACCTGCACAAGCTCTGATGATGACCTGATGACAGGGCCAATTTTTAATATGGTAAGTCAGTTGCTCAGGTACACCTCACTTCTGGTAAGCCCAGATCCACAGTAGACCAGCACTAAACTCAGGTTATAAGGGTTATAAAGCTTGTTTTTACCATGGGAAACAACCAGAGGACCAGGGGATAATGGTTATTCCAATTACATCATACACAAGTGACCCTATTTACTGCGGAAAAAGCTGTCCTAGAAAATCACGTACCATACTCAACTTGGCCAAACCTGAAGAAAATTCAGGATCTTTGGTACTCGTTCTTAAACTGTCATTGAAGGCTGCCACCCTGTCATGTATATTTACAGGTAAGACAAACGGTCTTATTCCTACTCAAACCCCGCCTCTACCTTCAATTCATTTCAAGATAGAAGCAACAAACTTCTCTTTCTGCATTACATAGATTATTAGAGTAAGCCTTTCAAAAAAATCAATTAAATGATTTTAAAATTCACTGTACTCATAAATAGTTTAAAATCAGAATTGCAATACAGCCCACTCAGCAACCTTCAATTTATACATTTTGTGCTAGTTATAATGCTGGGAGCATGGGAAAAGTTCACACATAAATACGTATAAAGGACTTGATTTCATGCACCGTTGTTTCATTGCACCTTATTTTTGCTGAACATGGACTGTATGGCAATCTGAAACTAATACCAACCATTATGTTGGATGCAATGCCACCTGCTGGTCAGCCTCCAATATCCCCTTTGGCATCACTCATATACACAAAGCACATGGACACGTCACAGCCTATTGTTGCAGCTCTAACACGCAAAGGTTTCTCCTCCAGGGAGCAGATTTAACCTCAGCACACCCAAATGAGTTTTGAGCATCTAAGAGAAAAGGTAACAGCGTATCTGTAACTGGACATTACATTACCTTGTCTCTCATCTTAGCTTTTCTCGATAATGTTGCTGTGGACTCTACCTCTGCAAGGGTGCTTTTGGAAATCTGCTCTGCTGCACTGCCGTCAGAACTGTCATTGGAAGCAGACTCTACGATTCCACTGGAGGGCACAGGGGAAGTCCTTGCAACATCGGTAGTTTTACCAACAGAATGGACACTGTCCATTCTGCTGCTTCCAGTACTGGCATTGTCATCCTCATCATCACTGGACAGCACAACTGGATGAAAAATAAAAGCAAAAGATTATCCAATGAGCTTAGCACTCTCTCTGTTTATCCACCACACAGTACTCGCCTTATATTTCACACGGTTCCTATTGTTCGTTGTGGAAGCTATGTTAGGTGCAATATGTACATATACAAGGGAAAGGGCAAAAACAAGGCAACAATGAAAGTCTCTTTGAAAGCACTGGAGGTAATAGTTTTCAAAAGTCGTTTTAGGGTGACCATTAAAATGTATAGTTAACATTGAAAATTATAGCATTTTTTTCACTGCCTTTTTGGAATCATTTAGAACAGTTAATATTCACTAACCAAATACAAAGTTCTGAGGAAAGATATATTACAGCACATTGATTAGAGCAATATTTATCAACCAATATTGATATTTTTAGATCCACCCTCCACACACTTTGCTGTCATTGGAAACAGGCTCTAGGATTCTGGTAACCTACATTTCTGAAACACATGGACAAGTGTGCATCTTTAGAAATAGGAAAAACAAGAGTAAGTGGGTAAGACACTCCTCATTTTGTTCAGCTCCTCGAAAGCTCACTCTTCAAAGCATATTCAAAAACTACAAACATTTTTAATGAGACACTCAATAGTAAAGCTATTCTATAATCCAGGTGGAAGACAATTACTGAAACATCACTCATCTGAACCAGCTGGAATGTGTGAGCAGGGAGATCGAAAGCACGGTCGAAGATAACGGTCTAGTGATGGGTCTTGAATGTGGCAAGGGATGGGGCGAGGTGGAGGGATTGCGGGATGGAGTTACAGAGGGTGGGGACAGAGTGGTGGAAGGCTCGCCCGCCAATAGTGGGGTGAGCGAGGCGGGAGACGTGAAGGATTCATTATGTGAAAGCAAGGATGGGGGTGATAGGGTCACGGAGCCAAGTGCAAGAAAGGACACGGGCTGCAGAGTTCCGGATGATCTGCAGCCTGTGAGGGAGGAGTTGGGGAGGTCGATAAGCAATGAGTTTGAATAGTTAAGCTTTGATGTAATGAAAGCGTGGATGAGGGTATGGGCGGCCTGCAGTGTGAGACAGTGGCGGAGCCGGGCGATATTGCGGAAGGTGGGGAAAAGCAGAGCAGGTCATGGCGCAGTTGTGGGGTAGAAAGGATAGTTGGGGGTCAAACAAGAACTCAAGGTTCCGGACTGGCTCAGCAAGGTGGAGTGTGCAACCATGGATGGTGAATAAATACCACCAGTTACCTGAATCATTTACTTAACTACAAGTGTCTGTTTTCTTTGAGCTGTTAAAATAAACAAGCAGAGAGTGCCACTGTAACATTTTTTCATAACAGCTACAGGTATGAGTGTAGAAATATGTATTAACTGATTTGCAGCAAGTGAAATCACAAGCATAAAACAGTGAACTTGTAATCAAAACCAGGAGAGTTGTGGTTGGACAGTTTCCCAGGCAGGGCGTCCCGCAGAGATTGATCCAACAGGATCATTCACCCACTTGTCATTGAACTTAGTTTGAGGCCAAGATCATGGCAGTTGGGTCATTTTGGGTTATTTCAATTGCTCCACATAAAATTGAATGTTACTAAAAGGAACTGAGTGACATGACTTATTTTTTGTATGTTTTCTCTTCTCATGTGGGTGGGAAGAAGATTGCCCATGTTATACAAGTTAACCTACCAACAACCTTTCATGGCCCAAACCATTGCTGTCCACCAATACAAGAACCATATAAAAAACAATGTCCTATTCCACAATCTAATTGAAGGTTTGCTACCATTCCTGAATAAATGGCCAATATTTTAGTCCTTTCTACTCATACTGCGCTTACTTTTCTTGACTGCTCATTTTACTTTGGCCCAATCTTGAAGCAACATCAACAACAAGAACAACTTGCAGTTACTGTATAAGTATTGTGGAGTCCTGTAGCTCAGTGGTTAGAGCACTCGCTTTGCAAGCGAGAGATCTGAGTTCAATTCCTGGCAGGGTGAAACCTTGGGCAAGTTTCCTTACTCCACACAGAGCCTAATAATAATCCCTAAAAAAAACTCAATAATAAATTGGTCATTTCAATCCACAACTGTTTGTGGGACACTGTTGCGTGCAATTGGCTGCCGCATTTCGTCCACAAATATAGTCAATTCACTTTACAGTATATTCTGTGAAGCGCTTTGAGACGTCTAGAAGATGTGAAAAGCGCTATATCAAATGCAAGGATTATTATTATTATTTAGAGCCCTCTACCCAGGGTAGCGTCTCAGAGCGCTTAACAGTGGAGCCTGTCTCCGAGCCCGGGGGAGGGGGAGTTGGCCTTTAGCACGGTCGAACAGGTAAGTTTTCAGGCGGGACTTGAAAAAGGGGAGAGAGAGGGCAAGGCGGAGGGATTGAGGGAGAGTATTCCAGAGTTTTGGTATTGTACATCATTATTGGTACAGTACAAAATTATAGGTAATCTACTTAACAGGGCTACCCTTGGAGGTCTTTGCAGTTTTTAAACAAACAGGCTTTCTTTTCCTCAAAATGGTTGACTATTCCACAACCCAATGAAAATATGCAGGCACAGGAATACAGTCCTATTCATAGACACAGCTCAAAGACATTGGAAAACCACTGCCTAGTTTAAGAATGAATTTATTTGTATATTTTGATTTGATGAGATTAGAGGTGTTGGATAAAATCGCCATACCCTACTCTGGAACTCATTACATTTTAAAATAGAAACAATGCTTAAAATGAATATTGAGCAGTATTTAGTTTTTAAGGTCAGCTAGCCAGCATGGAACTTCATTACTGTGTTCAGGGAATAACATTCTAGGGACTGGCTCTACCCCCTGTTGGGATACATTTATGTCCACAGCGGGAGACGCATTCTTGTGGTTTGGCAATGTATTCTCTAAGGCATCCTGCACACACTGGAGCTACAAGGCACTGGACGAATATCATAAATCCAAGTGCAGAAGTTGCACATCCATGCAGATTTTCAATTGCCTGGAAACCCCAGAGTCAAGAGTTCACTCTAAAAATCAATTAAAGTACCCATCTTACTCTGTCAGCTGGGAGACTGACAAATATAAAAGCCGTGGACTAACTTAACACATTCCAGTTCCAGCTGCTGAAAATGCAGAATTTCTGTTTGCTAGTTTAGGAATCTGCAATTTCTCTTGGCCCAAGGTGGGTGGGGGGGGGGGGGGGGGGGACATTAGAAAAGAAAAAGGAGATAATACAAGCTTCCCTATGTCTGGAGAATAAGAGTGGAGTTTGGCAGAAGTTAAGGCACAAGAACAACCAAAGTGCTTATTGCCGGGAGAGCGGGGCATGCTTTGAAATGTTTACCATACTTAAAAAGCACAATATAAATAATGTAAACGCAGACTGATGTACTGCTGGAATTCAACCAGCTAAAATCTTGTAACTAACAGTGCAAGGCATTAATTAGCAAGATTTCATCAGCTTGTCAAGTTAGGACCACCCATTGGAGAACTTTGGCTTTCAGAGTTACCAGGAGTCAACTCGGAACAATCCTGTGTCTCAGCAACATGTCTATTGCTCTAGATCCCATTTAAATTGATAGATTAATCATCAACAGTGCCCATGAGTACTACCCTGTGTATCCTGGTACTGCCAGCATAGGCATGTGGGCAAATTAAACAAAGAATCCAAATGTCAAATGGGAAACCAACAGGGTTTAGGTTCACTTGTGCCCTTTTTGCCTTTTCCAGTAAACTGCTTTAACCATCATACTTACTGGGATCATTCAATACGTGTTTCCTGGAATCTGCCGTCTGTTTAGTTCTATATAGAATTGTGTGTCCCACCAAGCCCACTCTTCCATTAGGTTGTAACAGATTGTTCCTGTTAGAATATAACTTAGCAGCTGTCACTGGAGTCACTATTATATCAAGAGTGGGCTTATAAAACAACTTGGTACTGACACCCAAGCCTCCCTCAGGTTGCATTGGAGAACATGCATGAATAGGGGGGCGTAACTGTGGTGTGATAGTATATGCAGAATCAGGAACATGCTTGGGTCGCCGCAGGGCATCCTTCGGGATTGGCTTCCTGCAATTTTCACAGTTTGTATGATCTTCACTTTTTCTCCCACAATTTCTACAGATGCTGAAGTATTCGCTGAGGTTTGGTCCCTGAAATTGAGAAAACAAAGGCAGATATTGGCAATGTTGCTTTTTTTCAAAAAAGATAAATATTGTAAAGGATTTCCTTCAGACTAGACGTTAAATAAAGCTGTTATCTGCCTGTTCAGGTGGGCCTTAAAATTCCCAAGGCACTATTCAAAACGTGAAGGGAGTTTCTCCCGGTGTCCTGGCAAACAAGTTCCCCAAGTAAAAAAAATTGATCACTCACTCCATGGCAGTTTGAAAGACATTGTTGTGCACAAACTGACTGCCACGTTTCACTCACAGTCAAACTATTGCAATGGCAAAGATGCCCCCAACTTTACAAACCAAGGTTAGGTTTATCTTTTTGTTTCCAAGATGGTTATATAGCATTAAATACTGAATCCTAACCTCGACTGGCGTTGGACTCTGAGGCTCTGATGTTTCAACGTTTGTTGATTCTGGCAATGCTGCTGCCAAGTCATCCTTTAGTCGCTTTGTCAGAACTCGCCTCTTAATATCCGGTACAGAATCCATCTGCTCATCTAATTCTGTGGAGGCTGCAACTGTCCAAAACAGAACAAAGATCCGTCATTGCAAAAATATCACAGATGACAACAAAAGCTTCTCCATAATGCATAAATCAGGAAAAAATGCAGCAAGTTTACATGTGTTATTTAAGCTTCATTGGGTGATCCAAGTGGAGATTTATTACTGACAACAACAACAAATTACATTTGTATAGCCATCGCACATGCAAATACCCTGGTCTGCTTTGAGTGCAAATCTACTGTGGACCATGCTACACCAGAAACACCTGATTTCTTGTGTTGACTAGCTCGCTTTCCGTGCTACAAAATAGCTGGTCACCGCAGCAACCCAATTACTAAAGACACATCCTGTCCACTGAGCATGCACACGAACCATCAGTAACATTACTCCACAGAACGATATCAGTGGGGGGGGGAAGAGAAGGGGGGAAAGAGAAAGAGGGCAGGAGAGAAAGAGGGGGTGGGGGGGGGGAGGGAGAGAGAGAGAAAAGGGCAGGAAGTTTCTGATTATTTTCACCCAGACCCCCTCATAATAATTAGTTGCTCTGTAAATTGAAAGTGCGGTGCAGAGAATATGTTGAGATTATGTGTTGGCACAAATATACTACATATCTGTTGAATTACCTGCTTTGAGGTAGAGTAGCTAAACTTGGACACACCTTTTAGACCCTCCCCCACCCCCTGTGTGGATCAACATGGAACACTGACAAAAGTAAATGCATCCGCTAGGAGCTAAAAGCCTCTTAAACTAAATGAAGACTCACCACTTTTGTCGGATCCCATTAAACTAATACTGTCCATGGGAATCCTTTGAACATCAGCAGGATACTCTTTCCTGAAATAGTTCAAATGCATGGCAAAAATTATTTAAAACAAAACACTGATTTTTTTTACAATCACTGTTCAGTCACTACATGCAGTACAATATATTCTGAACTAATTTCACAACCAGCCAAGAAGCAGGCTTATTTACACTCATGCACAATATCTTTCCATTCACATCTGGTGTTTTATAAAAGTTTTGATTCTTACGATACGTTTTCTAGAGTGATATTCCATAAACACAAATATCACAATCTTCAAAATGATATACAATCTGATCCTAGTTGTCACTACTATAACAAATTAAAGTTTATTGGAATTTTACCAAGGAAATTTGGGAGGAATAAGATGGAAAGAGCAGGAAAAGTGTTTTTTAAACTAAATTTTGGGTTGAAAAATAAGCCACACACAAAGAACATTTCTTACAGTAACTGAACAAGATATTAGTGCATAAAAAGAGGTTGGATTACAAAGTTCGAATTCTGCAAATGTACCTCAAATTTACTCAAACTAAAATCTTATAGACATAAAGTGGTTTCTGAAACAGTAGCACACTATTTGAATAAATCAGTGAGGCATGAAATGTACAATACAAATAATCTTGGATTTGCCACAGTAACCCAATTTCCAGCATCAGAATGTGTGTATTAAATAAAAATGCAGTAGGAGATGAGTATTCGCCTAAAGAGAATGCATCAATTTAAATTGCCAAATCAAAAGGAGTTAAGACTGTCCATTAGCAACATTTTACAGTTTAATCTGAACTGTGCTCAGATACCAAAGCAAAGTGATCTTACAAAGTGCACCCTCATGCAACATTACTTTACCACTAAATTAAGGGCTTAAAGAAAATTTGGATGTAAACATGGATCACAAGGTTTTACTTGATATGCATTAATGCTTGGTTCATTCTTGGTATTTCGAAAACTCTTTGAGGCTTTCGAAGCATGTCAACCAAAGTAAAAATTATATTCTGAAGATTAATAGAATCAATCCAGCAAAGTGTGCATTAAGAGCCTGTCCACTCCTCAACCTCGTGTTCCCAGAGAGATTCTGAACAGCAAAATCAAATGAAAGGCAAGCAATGCAGAGCAGTCAACGATCTCCAGTGAGCACCTAACAATAGCGATGGACCATCAAAACGCCTCATAAAATCTATTTTGAATGCCCAATCTGGAGGCTTTGTGATGGGAGACACTCATCACTATCAACGTTTATATAGGATTTCACTGGAAAAAATGCCTCCGGTTCACTTAATTATAATGAACATGAATCAACATAAGACTGCACATGCAGCCTGAACAGTGTTCGCACTGAACCCTTCTGTTCATAATGGCCAAAGGTCCCCAAAATAGAAGTTGAACATTACTCTGAGCAATGACTAGCTACCTAAAAAAGGCTAAAAAAAGTCGCTCCATTCAGGCCTGTAATTCTAGTCCATACATCAACTTTAAAAATGTTTTGATCTACTCAAGACTTGTTGTAGCTTCTTAAAAGAAGTTTATGCACTCAGTCAGTTCAGTATTCTTGTGCTGAACTTTAATAGAAAAATTCTTCACAGATTTGCAGTACATTTGTGCCAACATATAACCTGACACACTCAATGGGCAATCCATTAGGGTCTCATTTGAAGCATTTCTTAATGGGATTCCATAATAAGCAATCCAAGTTGTGCAAATGAAGATTACTATTGTGTGTGTCATTCTAGGTCAGATTTTTTTAACAAAGATTCTAGATTTAGGAAATAGCCCAAATGCATGACCCATTATAAACCTTTAGAACAAGCTTCACATGCAATTAGTTAAAACATGATTGCACTGTGGACCCCATTTATTGAGCAAGCACTCAAACAGAGGTCAACTTTTCACACAAACCTCGAGACTCCAGACAAGGAAAATACAACCAGGATGCAGGTTAACCATGCCCTTCCTTCTCATAGGCCCCTCTTACAAAACAACCAGCAAATTACTGGCCTTCCTGCTCCCTTGTTTAAGATGGTGGACAGGTTAAAGAGACGACAGAGCCAGACGAGATAAAAGTTGAATCCCAAAAAGTATTGGAAGAGTTACATATCGTGAAAAATATGTTTTGAGCAAATAGCAAATAGGCAAAATTCAAGTTTCTCAAGGCAAGCAACAACAGTTAGCATTGCACCAACACTGTAAAGCAGATCAGTATGAAAGCTTCAACTCCCAAAGAACCCAGCTGATCCTTTAGTGTTAACATTAAAGATAAATAAAAAGCACGGATTGACATGTGAGCATATCAATTAAGACAAATCTGTCCCAATGTACCCTGCTACACCTGTATGCGTGCACCGGAGTTGCATTTTGAAATGCTAAGCACTCATAAAGCATTTACAATTAGCAAAGTGATCTTTAAGAAAATTCAGCACCAGTTTCAGCTGCCAAGTAAACATATCAATGACAAACTTACCCCTCGTCAGTTAAGCCAAGGTTGCTTTAAAAGATGAGAAAAAGACAAGTGAGAAGGAATAATCTTAAATTAACATTCATGGGCTTTCAAAACATCAGCCCATCACAGTTTTATTCATACAAATTTTGCCTTTTAAAAAAGTCACCTACTAACAATTCAGTCTCAACTGCCAATTACATGTACAAGAAATCCCCTTAAAATCAATTCACTTCAGCACACAATTTATATCACAAGATGTCTTCTCAACGATACTATGGATTTTAGTCAGACTGACTCAGATAGCAACACTTTTACATTTACGCTGAAGTCACAAGGCAACACTGAACAACTTTGGGGATGCCAGAACCTTCAACTGCAGCAATGCCGCAACACTTACATTGGGAATCCACAATCAATGGCAGCAGCATTATCTGCAGCAATTTCCTAATGTAAATGGGGCAGGTTATTTATTTGGTAAGGTTTGAATGGTAGAGTTGTTTAAGATTTCATTGATGCCATTGATGCTCTATTGACTAAATTACAGACTTGGGTCCAAATACATTTGAATGTGCATTTAAATGTGCTTGAGACGAAAGTTACCACATTTGCATCTAAATGTGTGAGTGAAATATTTGAAGTTGACGAAAATGCATTTGTAATATTTTCAAATGCTATGGATGACAAGTGTCATTTAGTCACAACACAGTATATACAGTATACACCCGTCACAATACTTTTGTACCGAAAAGTTTGTGACTGCAAGCACGGTGCTTCCATGCATTCAAATTCAAGATCCTCATCCTCACCTACAAGGCCATTCACGGCCTTGCTCCCTCCTACCTCTCTGACATACTATCCCCCTACCTACCTGCCCGTACCCTCCGTTCCTCTGTCTCCGGTCTGCTCCACATCCCCCGCCCCAACCGCCCTACCATCGGTGGCCGGGCCTTCAGCCTCTCAGCCCCGAGGCTCTGGAACTCCATCCCCCAGTGCCTTCGCCGCCTCCTCCCTTTCCTCCTTCAAGGCCGGTCTCAAGACCTTTCTCTTTGACAGTGCCTTCAGCTCCCCTCTCGACTCTCTACCCCCTCCTCGCTCCCTCCCTTCCTTCCCCTCACCCTGACCATTTCCCCCCTCCTCGCTCCCTCCCTTTCCTCCCCTCACCCTGACCATTTCCCCCCTCCTCGCTCCCTCCCCTCCCCTCACCCTGACCATCTCCCCCCTGCTCGGGTCCTGACCCAACTGTACAGCACCTTGGGACGTCCTCCCGACGTGAAAGGCGCTCTATAAATGGAATCTTGTTGTTGTTGTTGTTGCATGATTGGGCTGCGGAAATAATTAATCTGGCATTCCACATACATTATTTGCATTTGGAGACAACGCATTAGAATTTCCATTTAAATGCGGCTAAAGGGCGAAACATTTGGGTTTGCATTATTACAGAATGTTTGCATTAAAATGTGCTCATCCACATTTGAACCTGTCTTCTAAGTTAGTAGTGAGTCTTTTAACTCCCACAAGATGTCCAGCATGTAGTGATTCATAAATCTTGAAGCAATTTGAAAACAGGAATAACTGGGTTTTGCATTAACAGAATGAACCTTAGAGAAGAAACTTTGTAGTTAATTTTCTTAAAGCAAATAAAAATTATTTTAAGAGGGTCCAACTGCACAGCAGTCTTCTTTAAAGTATACCCAATCTCAAAGGAATGAAATGCCACACTGTTGAGTGGTTTCATACTGCAATGAAAACACCTCATTCTGGCTGTGCTCCAGCTCAAGACAGCAGGGCAGCGTCTGCTGTTACATTGTGTCTGGTCTCCAGCAGAACTGGTAATAGTATTCTTTATAAACAGAGATCAAACAAAACAAAGATTGCATTTTAGTCTAATTTAGTTACCTTCAACATTTTTCCACTATGCTTATTTACTGAAGCTATACTCGTGAGAGAATCACTCATACAAAAATACTGAGTGTGAGCACCGAAAATTCAAAGGAGATTTATTTCCTTCCAAACAGATCAAGGACATCAAGTTTCATGAAGATGACTGTTCAGCATAACCCATCCATTCTGCTACTTTGTTCTACGTCAGTCATTTTTTTACATTGTTATTTTAGAGATATATAAATCAATAAATAATGCAAAAATATATATAATTTAACCTAGTAGTCGCAAGACTGGTTTAGTATATTTATTTACATCATAAAACCTTATTAATAATGGATTCATTAAATTTATTAGCAAAACTACATTCTAAAAGAGCAGCATGGAGTAATGTGCTCAATGGAAATGTATATTTGATAGAAAAACAGAAGAAATACCTTAGGGGTTTTGGCACACAGAACATTAAACCCATGTGTATAATGTTGTGAGGTACTTAATCAAATAAACAAAATACAGGAATGTACGAGTATAACAAACAAAGTAGAATATATCAAGAGATTCTGACCACTGTAAGGCCACATAACAACTAGGTGGAGTTTTTGTCTCCTCATTTCATAAAATATGTTCGGTTGTTCCAAGTGAGTGCAAAGGAGCTTCTAGATTAATTCCAGAATTCAATTATAAGAAGTTTACTCTCTTGAGAAGAGGATTGAAGGGGGGAAACCTTGAGATATTTAAAATTATGAAGAATTTAGAAAATTTGGTGTACAAATTGAAAACAGGAAGGGCATTCTTTCAGAATAAGAACAAAATAAGAACAAAAAAAGTGGAACTGCAGTTTTTTTTAAAAAAAAGTAAAACAGCATAGGGAATGAAACAAACTATGAACACAAGTGGTGGAACAAAGAAGGACAACTAAGGGATCTAAACAAATTCCTGGAAATTAAAAGGATTTAGGGTTGGTTGATAATGAGATGCGCAAAGAATATTTTGGGAAGTTGGATGGGCAGCTCGATGGACCAATGCTTTTGGACGTCCTCTTGAAGTGAAATATTTGTTGTTGTTGCTTTGTTTATTCCTGCCTGCCATTGTTACTAAGTAAATCTGTACAATACTGGCAATTCTAAAGTTACACATACACTTTGTTGACCAATGCCGAATAAAAATGTTTTTTTTAAATAACTTAGAGGCTAAAAGCAAAAAATATTCCCCCAACAAGACTGAAGATCCAGAAATCACCTACGAGTCACACAGTTCCTACATTTACAGCAATCCTCACCCTCGTCCAAGGCCCCATCCATTCTTTGCTGACAGCTGCTATTCGGCTGAACAGTGCAATGATGTTGATCTCCAGCCAGGATAAACAGTATTGTCAAGCAAGAAGCTGTGCAGCTAACTGAGATCCTGCACCATTGGGATGGATACAATACAACACACACACCTACACCCACAGACAGAAACCTGTTTGAAAAAAAAACATTTTGTTTCTGTTTTGCAATAGAATGGCTATCCTATATTCTGCACTAGAATGGAAGTCTATTGAATCAAGGGCATTACAGCTGACAACTGCTGATGACACCACAGCGAGCCTGGCTCATCGACAGGACTTGGAAGTCCAGACCAGTCACTGGGGCAGGGAGTCATCCTATTCAGCTCCTGTTAACCCTGCAAGCCAAAGCCCTAATGGGTAGGGTGGTCTTAGTTGGACAAGCAGCTTGCCGTACGTACCCCAGAGCACACTCTGGGGTGCCCAAGCCTTGGCCCTTACCAACCTGCGCCGAATACTCTCCGGAATTAGGTACAACAACAACATGGATTTATATAGTGCCCTCCACACCGGTCAGCGTCTCAGAGCACTTTACAGTAACAGTTCCCAGGGCTGAGCCAGGGGGAGGGGTGGGAAGGTGACCAAAGGCGTGGTCGAAAAGAAAGGTCTTCAGCAGAGACCTGAAAATGGGAAGGGAGGGAGCGAGACGAAGGGAGTGAGGAAGGCAGTTCCAGAGCCTTGGGGCATAGCGGCTGAAGGCACAGCCGCCGAGGGTGGAGCGGAGGACTCGGGGAACAAGGAGGAGGCCAGACTCGGAGGAACGAAGGCAACGGGTACTGTGTTGAGGAGAGAGGAGGTCAGAGAGGTAGGGGGCTGCAGAGGAGTGCAGGGACTTGAATACAAGGATGAGGATCTTGAAATCGATCCTCTCTGGGACAGGCAGCCAGTGCAGTCTGGCAAGGACTGGGGTGATCGGGGAGCGGAGTTTCGTGCGGTGAGAATGCGGGCGGCAGAGTTCTGAATGAGTTGGATTTTATTGATGGCAGTGGATGGGAGACCGGCGAGGAGGGCGTTGGAGTAGTCCAGCCGGAAGGTGATAAAGGCATGGACCAGAGTTTCAGCGGCTTTTGTGGAGAGGTATTAGTGGAGACGGGGCGATGCGTCAGAGCTGGAAGAAGGCGGTGCTGGTGAGGAACCGGATGTGGGGGAGGAAGGATAATTTGGGGTTGAACCTGACGCCTCGGTTGCGTACGGGTTTGGAGAGTTTTAGGGGAAGGTCAGGTAGGTGGAGGAGGTGATAACCGTGAAATTTTAGACGTTGATGAGAGCCGAAGAGTATGGCTTCCGTCTTGTCAATGTTCAGCTGAAGGAAGTTTGCGCTCACCCAGCCCCTGAGATCTGGCAGGCAGGCTGGCAGAACATCAGGGGACTGGGGGTCGCAAAGAGAGGTGGAAAAGTAGAGTTGGGTGTCATCTGCATACATGTGGAAATGTACCCCATGTCTGCGGATGACATCTCCAAGAGGGAGCATGTAGATCAGAAAGAGGAGGGGGCCAAGGATGGATCCTTGGGGTACCCCGCAGGTGACCGGGTGAGAGCGGGAGGAGAAGCCATTTATGCAGATGTACTGCTGTCAGTTTGTGAGGTAGGACTCGAATCACGGGGAGAGGTCCAGGAGGACAAGGAAGCAGAGGGAGCCCTGGTCACAGATAGAGAGGATGTCGTTTGTGACTTTCACAAGCGCAGTCTCTGTACTGTGGGCAGAAACTGGACTGGAGGTGTTCGAAGAGGGAGTGGGAGGAGGTGTGTGAGGAGTTGGTTTGCAACAACATGTTCTAGAACTTTTGCGAGGAAGGACAGGTTAGAAATAGGGCGGTAGTGGTTGGGGTTTGAGGGATCTTGGGAAGATTTTTTCAGGATGTGGGTGATGACAGCAGTTTTGAGGGAGGCAGGAACTGATCCAGAGGAGACTGGTTGATAATGTCAGGATAATCAGGATGCATCCCTCCAGGGAGCGAGTGTGCATTCTATTCTAACAATTTATCTCTGGGATTTCCGTGTATAGGAGGGATGCAGGGAAATCTCAACTTGGTTTGGATATTCGTAAGCGTGGTGATGGGTTTCCGCTTGTGTCAGACACCAGGCCAAGCAAAAAGCCTTCTCCTGTCCTTTCCCGATGCTCACATACAAAATCTTTTCCAGCAGAGGTAATTTGATAGCAATGAGAACAGCAATCACTGGCTGATTTTTTGCTCCCTCCGTAGAGAACTGTTGCCAATTGTAGAGCCTCAACTGCCACCTCAGGAGAGAACTAACTTACTGATCTAATCTGGGGTCTTTATGATCGTAACACTCCATCCTTCCCCAAGTTAATGTAAGAAACAAATATTCAGGTTTGAATTTCCAATGAGCCAAAGTCCCAACTTCAATCATGTGGACACAGAAAAAAGGTGAGTAAAATCTAGATTTCCTCTATTAAGGTAGTATTTCAGAGTGCTCAGAAATTGTTAAATTTTTGAATAAATACTTCAATTTTGAAGCCTGTTTTCAGCAAGTTAATTGAGGAAATCTAGACAGAAGTGGAATTTCTATGCTAGGACATTTAGTTTGTTCACTGGAAATGAACACAATTAGGGTCGCTAATTCCTTTGCATTCATAGTCAATATTCCTTCTGCTGAGTTCAAGCTCTTAGTATCCTCTGGGTAGAGGGTGAACAAGGGCTCAAACCAGATTGTTAAGATTGGTTCAGACCCGCAGAGTTGCTGAGTTTGGAGTGGATGAGCAAAGTAAAGCTTTCTACCCATATGCAATCTGAAACGTTGAATCATATAGGTGGTTGGTGGGTGTGGGTGGGGGGGGGGAGGCTGTTGATAAATCAAGTAGTTGTGGGCAATAAACAATAGATTTTATGGAGCAGGAGTTTGATTCCCTTTCTCCCACCAGTGGATATGAAGTTCTGACTGAATGAGAACTGCCCTTTGAACAACTCTCAAATTTTAGTAATGTTACGGTTCTTTTAAAAATGAGTATACAGTTATAGTCAGATTGCTTAACTCTCTAAATGTCTAAAGTGCAATATCACAACAAACATATGAATTAGACTGGCCTTTCTTACTTCCTTTTAAATCAATACTAACATAGTCATTGTGCTTCCACACTCCCTTTGCTTGCTCTTCCCAATCTCCAACACATTATTTTGCACTTTCTTCTTCCTGCACCTTGTATTGTTCAGATTCAAACGATCGCCTTCTGTAACTCGTTCTTTGCAAGAACCTCAAGACAGTGGAATTCCTTATATCCTTCAATCGTCTCTTACCCTCCAAACCAAAAGCCTTCAAAGCCTAAGCTTTGTACCATAACTTGCAACTAGATTTGGCATTTCTGCTACTGTTTTCAGTGTTGGTTGTGTCCTAGGTTTTGCCCTTCACCTTGGCTTCTCAATTTAAAAACAGGCATCAGTGGAATGTGACGAAGCAGAGCTTACCTTTGGGCTGCTGTTTTTACGATTGACTGAGCATTGGCATAATGAAAACGTCTTCCACGAACAACTATTCCTGGACCTGAAGAACCACTAATGACTAAGTATTTGTTTCGATTTTTATCGACCTCTTTGTTTGCTGCTTGTAGGGAGGTCACAGCTGACACATTTTCACTGTAAACAAAAAAAAACTAGGATCTCAGTACAGTTTGTACAGAAAAATACCGTCCTAATCTACTGAAGCATGCAAAGCAAGGAAGAAATTTAGTTTTGCATCAAAGGGCTTGGACCTTCAAATGTCTCCATACCCTTACCATACCTCTACAAACTCTTCCAACCCAAATCATCCACCTACTCCCTCACTTCACTCTGCAATCTCGGGGCTACTGCACATCCCTTGCCCCTTCCACCAACAACAGATGAGCTTTCAGTCATTATAGCCTACTATCTGGAACTCCATCCTGAATTCCGCTGCCTCAAACCCTGTCACCTTACCTTTTTTTTCAAAAGCCACCTAAAATACCTACTTCTTTAACTAAGCCTGCAATTGCTGCCCTCCCACCCCACCACTTCCCACTTTGCTCAAGTTCCCACACCGTTCCTGTTAAATGCGTTGAGATATTATCCTACATAAATGGTACTATACAAATACGACTTGTTATTGTTGAGGGTAAATATTTAGCAATCTATGGTTAAAAATCACAATCTTGTGGTAGGATGCTGTTATTGGCCTATTTTTGATCATCATCCAGTGACTTCTGCTGAGGGGGCATGCTGGTGGACCATTGGGTAAAGAACATGATTGAGCTCAGTTCCAAGGCTTCACACTCTTCCCCCCAACTTTCCAATCAACCCAGTTACACTTATAGCCTCACGCACTAAAACAGATATAGACAAAAGATAACCAGCACTTGTGGAACCTCACTCTAGCATGGCATAGTGCTTTCAGGAGAGGAAACAAGTGAAGGAAACAATCGACATAGTCTCAAACATAACTGTAGAAACAGCAGTTTCAAGCTAAGAAGATATGAAATGTCTGCAGGATATCCTATGAGTAAGCTTCTCAGAATTAATATCTGAAGTAATGGGATCACATTCTGTCAAACATCTGCTAGCATCCAGACAGTTAGTACATTTCCTACATAAGCATATTTGGGAGTTGGTTGAAGAGAAGCAGAAGGGCAAGTTTGCATTTTTCTTACCAAGGCTCTGGCTTAACATCACCCCAGTTTTACTCCAGACTCTCAACTATTTGCACAGTTTTGCACTTGGTCACTCTTGTTATAAAAAATTTATTTGCTGTATTTCAGAACATGATGCTGGCAGGAGCATCATTTGGTGCCCGTTCCTACTTGTCTGAAAAAGGGAAAAGCCAACCATGTTCTCGGAACAAGTCCCCTACCGTCCCCATCTACAACAACAACAACAAAATTACATTTGTATAGCAACTTTCACGTCAGGAAGACGTCCCAAGGCGCTGGAACATCAGTGTTTCGGACCTGAGCTGGGGGTCGGGATCGGGAGGCGGGGAAAGGAGGGTGACCGCAGGCACGGTTGAAGTGGAAGGTCTTGAGATGGATCTTGAAGGAGGCAAGGGAGGGGGCGAGGCAGAAGGATTGCGGGATGGAGTTCCAGAGGGTGAAGCAGAGTGGCTGAAGGTTTGCCCACCAATGGTGGATTGGGCAGGTTGGTTGGTTTTACAATCTAAAATGAGTTTCAACTGAATGCAATTAGCTTTTAACTGTACCGAATCTTGAAACCATAAAATAAAACACTTAATCCTACTCACCTACATCCAAATAATGTGCTCCAAATATCAAAAATGCCAACCTTTCCTATGTTAGTTTACTTTTCCTCCTTTAAACTAAAAAGGAATGAGTACCACATGTTTATGCTTCAAGATTTGAGATTTATAAGTATGGATTATAAAAGAAAAAAAGGGGGATTTAGTGATAAACTTCATGCGATTCCCATCATTCAATGTTTAGTCCAGGCAAACTATAATCGCTATCTTTTGTTTCACTAAAGAGCATTGGGTTATGTATTAAATCAGCAGTATTAAGCATTCAAACTCAAAATTGAGAACACCTTCACAGTCCTCTTCTAACTTTCCAAGACATCTTCAAGCTACACACAGAAATGTGAATGTTTGCCAACATGTGTTGGAACTTCTCTACGATTTTAGAGTTCAAAATAAGGAAGTTAAATTTATATATGATACAACCTTTGTTAGACCACATTTCTACTACTATGTACAGTTCTGGTCATCATATCACAAGAAGGATATTGTAACAATGGAGAGAGTGCAACAGAGATTTACTAGGATATTACCAGGGATGAGTGGATTCAACAATCAGAAAAGATTGGACAGGTCGGAGTTTTTTCCCTCTGGAGATGAGGTATTCGAAAGGACCTGATTGAGGTGTTTAAAATCATGAAAGAGTCTGATAAGGTTGATCTATATAGGCTGTTTCCACTTGTTGGTCCATTCATAACAGATGGCATAAATATAGTCACAAGCAGATTTGAAAGAGTTTAGGAAGCCCTTTTCGTTTTCTTTTATGTTTTTTACACAGAGGAAAGTGAGAATGTGGAACTCACTGCCAGAAGCTACAGTTGAAACAGAAAGCATTAAAGCAATGAAAAGGAAACTCAATGCATATACGAGGACTAAGGAAACAGTGGGGTATTAAAGGGGTTAGGGAGTGGGGATTATGATGGGTGGAAGCTCATATGGAGTGCAAACAGCCAAAGGACTAGTTGGGCCTTATGACCTATTTCAGTACTGTACAGTCTATGTAGTTCTATGTGATGTTTTACAAATTGGTTATCAAACTAAAATTTGTAACTACATCTTCATACCCTGATTCAAAAAGTACATAATGAGTCTGAGTTCAAGGCTAGAGAGTATAAAGTATCAAAAGCCAAAAATTACCCATAGACTTATCCTTAAGACCATGGGCAGAATTCCTAAATGTCGTATTATCTAAGAGATCCATTTTCACAGGTCTTTTTAAGAACTATGGAAAGTGATTTCCAACCCAATTTGTTATTTAAAAAAAAGAACTTTCTCAAATTCCATGCAATCTTAAATTTTAAGACGTAGGTCATGATCATGAGTAATTTTTGGTTGCAAGTTCTTCCAAAATCTAAACCTGACAACCTTCCAACATACGATCACTAACAAGTTGTTAAATTTCACCAACCTTAGTTTCCTGCCAGCCCCTAACATGTTGAGACCAGTTGCATTTCCTTTCAAAGTTTTACAAAAGCTTTTTCCTTGGTTTCTTCTCGCGTACGTTTTCAGGAGACCAACACCAACAGATTCTGGTGAATGTAGAGCCTTGGTCTGAAAACAAAAAGAGTTTCTACAAGTTAAACCAAACCGTTCCTTTGCTAATTTCAATACTTAAGAGTTGGCAATCCTCACTATCCATTTTGTCTACTTCTGCCTAGCTCTGCATTATCACTCCAAGAGCTTAGACTAACACTATGCTGTGACAGATTCCAGGGAGGGCAGTCATTTTAAATTTCACTGTTGCTCGAGAGCAACATTTTCATTTTATACTGTTCCCCATTCATTCAGATATAGCATCACACATCCTCATCTTCAGAGCCATGAATTCTCCTGGGATTGTGTGGGGGAAGAATCCATAACATATAAATAGATCTTTGTGTATTGAAATAAGCTGATATAAAGTTGTCAAATGTTTAGTCATCTTCAAGTATATTATTAAATTCTGAGTACTCTACTGTGTCAGTATTAATGAGGAAACAACATTTCTTGGCTATGAGCAAGATTTTGTTAGCCACCTCCCTCCTAACTCCTCATCTGCCACCCTGCTTGGGCTCCCACTCATCAGTGAAGCACTCTGAGGTGTTCTAAATGAAATACAAGTGCAGATGGTTGGTGCTGTAGTATTACGAATTTATCCTGTGGGAAAAAGTACCCTAGAAATCCAAAATGACTTGCGTGCCTTTGGGAGAGCCTGCACGGCGAGAATGATTTGTGGCATTCCAATCATAATTTTGTTTCTTGTTTATGAAGAATTTGTTCAGATGTTCTAGGCTCAACAATTGAAATTTTCCAAGGACCAGAAAAGACCACAGCAATACTCCATTTGTTTGTTATCTCCTGAACCACGTATCGTCAGAACAGTGCATAACTGATGCCGATACAATGGCTTATGATGTCTAAATAAGACTTCAGTTGAATTGGTGGTATACTATGAAACGTGAAAGGTTTGAGAAATTATAAATTTCAAGTACATCTGTTGTGTACTTTCAAGTACATTTCAAGTACATCTGCCTTCCTCTAACATCTCAGAGCTGCCCCTCCAGGTCTCATGATACAAAGAATGGTGTGAAGAAGTGGCCAGCAGGAGATCTTTGACCAGAGAAGAATAGGTACATCAGTTATTATAAAAACCAAGGGGCATAGGCATGATAGAATTTGACCTGAGTGAAGCTGAAGCTTCTTCTTACCAGTAAAACTCATAGGCAAGTTACATACCCTGAGGTTTCTCAAATCCAACCCACTTAATTGCCCGTTATTATTATGTGAGGCCTTTATACTCTCTCAGGGGATGGGGGGGTAACAGAGATAATGACAATCATAAGGTAGCGCCTTGATAAGTATCAAAGGCTTCATTCATGAGTAATTTCCAATAATAAAAATGCTTAATGGTATTTATAGGAAAATTCAAATCCAGATCCATACATTCACAAAGCATTTGTTTTTTCTGCTAAACTGAAGCCGCCTTAAAAAATGCAAGAGTCCTGGTTATAATTGAGTGCATGGCAAGGATAGCGAGGACAGTCTGTACCTGGCAACAGGAAAAGAACTACTCTTTGGAGGAGTGCCCTTTTTTATATGATACATGAGCAATTTTGCAATGTCATATCATCCATGTAAAAAATGCTTCTCGGAAGGACATAACACTTACAAGGCTCCCCGTTGACGATCTGGGCTTATCCCAATGTTATCTGAGGAATGTTAATAAAGAATCCACTGCGCTTTTATAATGAACTATAAATAGTTCTCGTGCTCTTGACTGGTCAGGATACTTGCAAGCTTCAGAAGCAACTCTCAAGACTTGCTACAGAACAAGAGCTCTCAGTGAGGGGAACACACAGTTTCAATGTAACTGGGTACATATTACGTTGCTTGGCAACTCACAATTGCTTAGCAAACCGCAACCACCTCAAAGCCTGCAGGTTCATTTTTTTTTACATATGGAGTATTGCACCAGCGGTAGAGGAAGAGATATTTTGCATCTCTCTGGCATTGCCAAACGATTCGACTGTTGTACACTGTTTGTACTTAATTTACTTTAATTTACTCAGAAAAAGCACCTAGTTTGATAAAGAATTGGTGCTATATTGTATTAAACCAATAGGTTTTCCAACTCTAGGACATAAATATGAACCGTGCCAAGAGAATTGGGTGTCTGTCTCTTCTCTCCAAAAGTGATTACCACAAATGCTTCAAGTAAAATTTTAAATTCATTGATCAAGATATCATCACTGAACATATTTGTAAATAAAGATTAGAAGCATACACCTCACAAGTAACCAAATGCTCAGCTGTAACAAAGTTACTTTGGATGCGGTAACTAATTACAAGGATTGTGAAACAGCAACTTAAAATAACACCTCAGACTTGGGTCCAAACACAAATGAATTTGCATTTGGATTTAATTGTGCTTGCAACAAAAGTTACCACATTTGCATTTGTGCCTGAGCGAAACATGGGAAATTGACCAAATGCACTTGTAATATTTTCAAATGCTTCCACAAATACTTCACCTGGTGCTGTAGAGAATGCAGGGAAGATATTTTGTACCGAAAGAATGCTTATTTGTGACAAGAATCTCCTTTTGAAACTTTTTATTCATGATTTTTGCAACATGAACTTGCAACAATTTTGACATGTTTTGACTCGTGTATTGTCTCGGAACAATACACCTTGGGACATCCTCCTGACGTGAAAGACGCTATACCAATGTCATTTTGTTGTTGCTGTTGTCTTTAGAAGTGTGGATGTGATTTGTAATGTTTAACAGGTAGTTCTTTCGAGTAAATGCTCTTAGGCTTTGCAATTTTTTAATGCCACAATAGAAAATGCCACATCAGCATTACAGGACATCCACTTAAATGCAGTTAAGATGTTAAGCATTTATTTGTAAACTTACAGAATATTTGTACTTGCATTTAAATGACTGTTGTGCATCAATAATTGCAAAGCGATTTAAGCAGCAGTGACTTTTGTCTGAACATAGAATTCACAGCTTATTTCAGTTAGAACATATTATCCTGCTACATATCTGCTTCAACGTGGAACAAAGTATATATATATATCCCTTTACAGTAAAACTCAAAACAACATGTATAATGAAATCTTTAGCACTCTTAGGGGGAAAATATTACATTTTATCCAATAGATTTGTCCCACATTTCCGGGTCTCATTCATGTTGAATTTGTTTCAACAAAATTTTCTCCACAAACTTTTTACCCTCACCTGCCTACGCTTAGATTCAGACCTAATGCCAGCAGTAAGTGAACAAGTGGCAAAGAAGGGCACCCAATGATCAAGTGAAACTTTTTTTTAATGTTTATTAACCCACTGTACAAATAAAAGATCACATGGGAAAAAGCACAAAAGGCCTTTTCCCATTTAAACTAATGGAATGAATGGCATAAGAGTCATTTGTGTGATATCCTCTATTTATCATGAGCATAAACTATTTATTTACCATCATTTAATTGAGATGGTAAAGCAGAAAATACCTCCATTATTTCCAATGCAGACGATTTCCTTACCTTCTGTTCTTCTGTTTCAGTCTCTTCATTATCCATACTCAGCAGATTAGGCTCACTGCAAAGTGAAAATGTTAAGTTAACTAAGATGGAAAGGTGACAAGAGTATAAAAAGGTCCTTTATCAATACATTGGTTTACAAATTATTTGATCCTTACATACACTGTTAAAGGGACGGCAAAAATACATAGGTGTCCAGTAATAATTGTGGTTCAGAGGGAAAAAGCTACAAAGAACTCAGAAAACGTAAACACATAAGATCTGCGTTTATAAAAAAAATCTTCCCCACACTCGTCTCGAAACATTTAAAAGCATTCCTCTTGCTTTGAATGAAGAATAAAACATTCTGTACAGTTTTGCTGACGGTCACTGTGCTCCTTTAATGCTGAAGAAACCAGCATCAAAATGGTGCAATTCAGTTAAAACTTTGCCTGACCCTATTTCAAATTCTGGATATATTTGCATACATCAGATTATTTGATCACAATCTCAGAGCTCAAATCCTTTGCCTCGGCTCTTGAATGAAATCCTTTCTCAATACCTTGGATTATTAACCGGGAAAACTGACGTACACTACAGACAATAAACAATTAAGAGCCTATAACAAACATCCTGAAAATGCAGTCCTGGACTGATAATCAAGTAAAGATGAGCCCCAAACCATTACACAAAGCAGTCAATCTACCACCTGTATTTTCAATCTTTATTTCTCATTTAACCAGTTTAGTATAATATTATGCGCCACCTTCCCAGATCTTATTTCAAACTACAAAGTCAGCTCATTTTGGGAGGATGACAAGAGAGGAATTTTTTCCAGTCTGGTTTGGAGCAAAGTAAGATGCTATGTTAATTAACACTTCCCAAGTTACAGAATGGCAAGGCACAGGAGACCGGGAAAGTTTGCAGGTTCAGCCCCAGGACATTCTCACCGGCTCGCAGCACTTTGTATGCCCACAGTACTGCCTAGAGATTGCCGGCACTGCATTGCAAATTCATAGCTTGGGGCAGGAAAAGAGAAAACCTGAATCATTTGCCAGGGTTCAGTCTGATAATTTGGTATTGTAGACAGGCCTAGACATGCGACTTTACAAACCCTTCTGAAAGGATTTTGTGAAAATTCATCTTCTAATCTGATCATAATCATTCTGCCAAATAAACTGCCTCCCACATGTGTGGGTAAAGAATGACATGCTTACAAGGAGAAAGCAAATTCTAAACAGGAAACAATGGAAAACTAAAATCAATTACTAAAATAAATTCACAGAAAATAGAACACCGTCTACTTGAATTTAATCTGTGCGTGAAGCACACTGGAAGGGTGCCATTTAATCTATATATTTGCTACAAATACACAATCACTACACTCTACAGTAGATCCTGCACAGCACAGAGACATTATGTGCTATATGTTCTCCTGATATTATAATAATAATAATCCTTGCATTTGATATAGCGCTTTTCACGGGAGGACGTCCCAAAGCGCTTCACAGAACACACTGTAAAGTGAATTGACTGTATATTTGTGGGCGATTTATGCACTATATATTTATGTATATGTATATTTATGCACTATATCAACTCAAAGGATGTTTATTAATATTAATAATAATGATCTGTATGACAAACACCACAGAGGGGTGACTAAACTGTACATGATACACATGTGCTATTACCGCTACACACTGCCCTACATAACAATGCTGTGTAGAAGTTTCTAAGGGTCAGAAAATACACAATGCTTCAGCACATTACAGTGCTTATTCCATGCGCCATGTATTAATAATACACGTAACTGCACCGCCTTGAATAATAAGAAATGGTATTATTCAGCAGTCATTGTTCAGAAAAATATTAAATGGTTAAATGCAGCAAATATGAAATGCAGAAGTAAATCCAATAACGTGATTTGTGGGAGTAGATCAAGTATACAAAGCATTAGTTACCAGAGCCACTTGCTGCAATGTTGATGAGTATTTGCTGACATGTTGCCAGGAGAGGACTAGCATTAGAGATCTAAATAATTATGTCATGTGACAGAAATACATAGTTTTTGATCATGTGAAGTTTTATAAACATCGAAATAATGGTCATTGCGATGTTGAAAAGCTTATATGAACTGCAGGTATATGCATTAAAATACATAATCCATGCATGTGCGTCCTGTACATCCACATACATGTGAATCCACATACATGTGGAGTCCTGTAGCTCAGTGGTTAGAGCACTCGCTTTGCAAGTGAGAGACCCGAGTTCAATTCCAGGCAGAGGGCGAAACCTTGGGCAAGTTTCCTTACTCCACACAGAGCCTAATAATAATCCCTCCAAAACCAAAAGCAATAATAAATTGGCCATTTTCAATCTACGACTGTGCGACATTGCTGTGTGCAATTGGCTGTCGTGTTCGCCCACAAAAAAATATACAGTCAATTCACTTTACAGTGTGTTCTGTGAAGCGCTTTGGGACGTCCTCCCGACGTGAAAAGCGCTATATCAAATGCAAGGATTATTATAATAATGGAGTTGCGCTGCTTTCATTTGTTTGCTCAGCAATAATGGAAAGGGCTCAGCATCAGAGGTACTCGTGGCATATATGAAAGCACACAAAGCAGTGCGTCACTGTGTACATTTTTATATCTTACCTTCATGCAGAACAATTAACGTAAGACTTAAAGTATTAGCCGTTGAAGGCAAACCTATCAGTGGTGGTCAAACTTTTGGGCTCAAGGGCCTAATACATTTTTCTTGAGTGCTACAGGGGAATACCATAAATATAGCTACTAGAAAAAATAGTTTAACACAGACTTACCTAGACTAGTGCGACGTTCAGCAAAAAGGCTGCAGTGCAGGTTTGTTAAAAAAACAGATTTTTAGCCAAGCCCGTCGCAGCCTTTCGACACCAAGCAACACCTCTCCTCTCAGGACTTTCCAACATTTCCTTGAGCACTCTGCTTGGGCATGAATGAACTTATATGTGAAGGTGAGAACTTTTAAATTGATTTGTTTGGAGACAGAAAGCCAGTCGAGACTGGCGAGGTTTGGGGTGATGGGTGTGCGGAGTTTGATGTGGGAGAGGATACAAGCAGCAGAGTTTTGGATTAGCTGAACCTTGTGGATGGTGGACCAGCAAGCAGGACATTTAATAATAATAATAATTATTGCATTTGATATAGCGCTTTTCACGTCTTCTAGACGTCCCAAAGCGCTTCACAGAATATACTGTACAGTGAATTGACTGTATATTTGTGGGCGAACGCGGCAGCCAATTGCGCACAGCAACGTCCCACAAACAGTCATGGATTGAAAATGACCAATTTATTATTGTTTTGTTTTTTTGGAGGGATTATTATTAGGTGTGCGGAGTAAGGAAACTTGCCCAAGGTTTCGCCCTCTGCCTGGAATTGAACTCAGGTCTCTCACTTGCAAAGCGAGTGCTCTAACCACTGAGCTACAGGACTCCATTTGAGAAGTCAAGGCGGGAGGTGGCAAAAGGTGGATAATGGTTTTACCACCATTTGGTGTGAGGTAGGGAGGGGCGGAGATAAAGGAAAGCACTACAAACTGGCTCACTTCCCCGGTCATTGCTGTACATATGCACATGCAGTGATGTCAGTGCCAACCTAACAACCTAGAAGTCAGCTATTTTCCCCCACATCACTTAGGTCTCTGAAGATACTTGATGCAGTCAGCAGGATTTCTCAACCCATGGACTGAGACCCAAAACTGAGTCAATTGATGTGTCAAAAGGGTCACAAACAGATTTTTAAAATTGATGCATTTTCAAAAATGATTGAGCGCCACTAGTGCTACACGCGTGTTAATGGTGTGCATGAGCTTCCACTGCAAAAACAGACAATTATCAAGGTTGGTCTGTAACATGCCTCGGCCGGTCGATAATTACAAATGGCATACAACTAATTAATAAGGAGAGAATTCACAAGCTGCGGTTCTTGTTGTAGAAGCCCTGTTAATAAAGCTATTTAAACAGCAGCAGGTACAAGTGATCAACCAATCAAATGCAGAAATCATTTTAAAGTAAGATTGCAGGGGATGCTTGGAGCATATTTTAGTCAGAGAAGCAAGTCTTCTGGTCAGTGAAATGTTGAGACTTTTAAGCTATCCTTTTACAAGTAGCAGTGATACAGCCAAGAAGTGGGAATCCTTCACAATGTAATCTAGTGATCTCGGTCTACATCAAAAATATACTGAAATGAGTCTTTCTCAGCTTTGGTGCAGTGCTGCAGGCTAGCTCTTGCTCGCTAGCCATACTAGTAGTTATTTTGCCATATAGATTTAGTGCGAAACAGGATTTCTCAGCCTTGACTCAACTGAAAAATGACAGCAGGAACAGAATGGATGTTGAGCATGACCTTCGGATTGTGCTGGCTACAATTACACTAAACTCTGATAAAGAGAAGTGAGCTCAGGTTTCTCATTAAGGGGAACCTAGGATTTATTCAACAAATAAACAGGAGAAACCTGGTTTGCGGTCACCTCGGTAATCCAGCTACCTCACAATTGCGGGCACCTTTTCAGTCTCTTTCGTGGTCTGTATTTAAAATATAGGCTGTTTGTCTGCTTCAGTAAACCGGGCACCTCACTATTCAGGACGGCGGTCACTGATTGCAGTCTGGGCCAATAGAAAAGTGCGGCCGCTTTCCCTGCAAACCTGTACACAGTGCACTAGGCCTTGGATCTCGTGCTATTTGCTCGACGCTGCTACTGTGGGTGGAGTGCGGGGAATGCGGAAGCCTCACGAGCGGGAAATCGACTTCGCCCGGCGCCCTCGGCCTAACCTGAGCTACTGCGGCCAATTCTCATTAAGTGCTGTAAACATACCACCACAGCAGAAGTTGTCCTTACGTGAGAGTGGACTTAAATAAACAAGAGTGAGGGCAAAAGTCATAGGCAGTTAGATGTGATCTATGGCATTGGCAGAACACAAGTTGGAGGCATTCTCAAAAGGTAGGCTGAATACATGACAACTTTAGAAGAAAATCAAAACCCCTCCCACTTATACTGATACACTGGGTTTGTTGGGATAAGTGGAGGACGTTTGCC